GTTTGTATAGAAAGACTTTAAATGCTATGTTTCTAAAGTATAAGAATTTGACTCACGATGTTTGGGTCCGTTTATTATAGTGTAGATTTCTCATCATTGAGAAATCTAGGCCAGGAGTGTTCTGGAACAGCTGTTCCAGGAGCTCCAGATTTATTTGCTGTGTTTGCATGTTTGTGTGCAATCCCATGCTTGGGATTTGTAGCAGGGGGTTTCCTGTTATAATTTGCATTTATAGGGTAAGCCACCTGCCAGTTATAGTTAGGTTCCCTGATCCCGCCCCTTTTTGAGTTTTGGAGGGAAAAAAGCCATTTTGAGTTAGTTCTCACAGAGAAGCCTTTCACACAGGACATAGAACGAAGTGGCTCCTGTAGAAAAGCTTCGTCTTTTACAGCTTGGCCGGGGTTATACAGCCCTACAGCTTGGCCGGGGTTATACAGCCCTACGGCTTGGCCAGGAGACATACAGCCACAGCTTGGCTGAGGGACTCCAGCCGGCCATAACAGCAACCTGAACTCCTTCTTTTTCCCTGGAGATCTACAAAGCTCTGTTGAGGCAAGGGTCACTCGCGGAAGCCAGACGCAGTTGGTACCGGGTGCAGGGGCTCCACGTCAACAGAGGCAAGTACAGACTGCCCAGATTAGAAGCTAGGATTTCCCCATCAGTTAGTTACAGTTGAGAAGACAGTGCCTGTTCCTAGTGGACAAGATTGAAAGAACCTATAGACTGTTAAGAAAACCGTTAAAGTACCTGTTTGTTCCTTAATAAAAGAACTTTGTTGGACTTACTTTAAGCATACTAAAGACTCTGTTTGGGGGAATCTAAGGGCCTTTACTCTGAGGCAGCCCCGGCGTCCCGTTGGGCACAGAGAATTTATGTCCTGTGTACAGTCTAATGCACAGGCCCAGCGTGCGACAGCACAAATAATAATAAAATAATAATATGATTCTATGATTCTATGATTCTAGGGCCAGCTAACACCTCCCAACAAAGGATCCCCCAGGCAGCAAACAGCAAGGCTTTGAAGTCACAAGGCCATTAAATGCTAATCAAGGTGGCCAATTACAACATTCACATTTGCCTCAAGCAGGCAAGAGTTCTTTCTCCCACCCTGGGCATTCCACAAATATATAAACTCCACTTGCCTAGTTTCCAACAGACCCCATAACCCTATGGATGCCTAACCATAGATGTTGACGAAACATCACAAGAGAATGCTTCTGGAACATGGCCATACAGCCAAGAAAACGCACAGCTACTCAGTGATTCCAGCCATGAAAGCCTTCGACAACACATCATCATATGTGCTGTTGGGAGAAATAAGGGGTTGTATCAAATACCAGAGCAAGGCAAGGCTAATTTCTCTCTCCCATGCCTACATTTTGGCACAATGAAAGCAATGTTGTATTACTTCAGGACACAATTTTGACTTATTTAAGGGTATTGCTGGCATTTGGGAGATTGGGGACAGAGTAAACAGCCAGATTTGTGTCTGGCTTTAAACTATTTTGGTGGATTTTGGGATGAAATTAAAAATTCGCCAAAATTATTATTTTTTTAATAGTTCTGAGGACTTGAGGGTTGGGAAGGCCAGCACGTTGCTTTCCCTGGTCTAGAGAGAGTTAAGCTCATCAACCCTGTTTCTTCTGTGAAACATTTGGGAAACAGCTTGACATGGGCAGAACAAAACAAGATACTTTATTTCAAAGAACTTCATGGCCATAGTCCAGTCAAAATCAACTGGAATGGATTCGGAAAACATGATGGTCACCATAAATGGAACAAAACAGAGTATGCCTTTGTAGAAGCCTTTCGGGCTTGAATCCTGCTGGTCATTCTAATTAAAGTGCACCTATTGAACCAATGGGATTTACAGAAAAGTTGACTCACTCAGTCAACAATTTATTCAGTGGCTTTGCGCTGTCTGAACAAAGCAATAATCATCAGGCCAGGGAAAGACTAGTATAGCACCGACTTGCCCAACTATGTGTCTTTCTAAAATATTGGATTGCAGTTGCCATGATCCTTAACCAGTATGACCAGCTGTCAAATTAGCTGGAGGTTATGGAAGTTGTAGACCAAGACATGGATAGGAGTATGTATTGTCGAAGGCTTTCATGGCCGGAATCACTGGGTTGTTGTAGGTTTTTTCAGGCTATATGGCCATGTTCTAGAGGCATTCTCTCCTGACGTTTCGCCTGCATCTATGGCAAGCATCCTCAGAGGTAGTGAGGTCTGTTGGAACTAGGAAAAAGGGTTTATATATCTGTGGAATGACCAGGGTGGGACAAAGGACTCTTGTATGCTGGAGCTAGGTGTGAATGTTTCAACTGACCACCTTGATTAGCATTTGATGGCCTGCCAGTGCCTGGGGCAATCTTTTGTTGAGAGGTGATTAGATGTCCTTGTTTGTTTCCTCTCTGTTGTGTTGCTGTTGTAATTTTAGAGTTTTTTAATACTGGTAGCCAGATTTTGTTCATTTTCATGGTTTCCTCCTTTCTGTTGAAATTGTCCACATGCTTGTGGATTTCAATGGCTTCTCTGTGTAGTCTGACATGGTGGTTGTTGGAGTGGTCCAGCCTTTCTGTGTTCTCAAATAATATGCTGTGTCCAGGTTGGTTCATCAGGTGCTCTGCTATGGCTGACTTCTCTGGTTGAAGTAGTCTGCAGTGCCTTTCATGTTCCTTGATTCGTGTTTGGGACAATGCTGCGTTTGGTGGTCCCTATGTAGACTTGTCCACAGCTGCATGGTATACGGTAGACTCCTGCAGCGGTGAGAGGATCCCTCTTGTCCTTTGCTGAACGTAGCATTTGTTGGATTTTCTTGGTGGGTTTGTAGATAGGTAAAGATGAAGATCCACCCAGAGGAAAAGTGTTCCTGCCATACATCAAGGGAACCACTGACCGCATAGGGAGGCTGATGAGGAAACACAACATACAAACAAAACCTCTCAACAAAAGATTGCTCCAGGCATTGCCAGGCAATCAAAATGCTAATCAAGGCGGTCAGTTGAAACATTCACACCTGGCTCCAGCAGACAAGAGTCCATTGTCTCACCCTGGTCATTCCACAGATATATAAACCCATTTTCCTAGTTCCAACAGACCTCACTACCTCTGAGGATGCTTGCCATAGATGCAGGAGAAACGTCAGGAGAGAATGCCTCTAGACCATGGCCATATAGTCCGAAAAAACCTACAACAACCCAGGTTGGGGAATGCTCCTGTCGCAAGTTAAACATGCAGCAGACATTAGCCTGTAATGTACCTGCCAAATGGAGACCAGGAAAAACTCCAAAGGTTAAACAAATACAGATATGGCAGGCCAAGAAGTCAAGGTCTTGCTGAGCTCTTTGTTCTCCAAGTGACCAAGACAGGATTTGAAAAGCTTCTTTGGGTGCAGCCCCAGGATTTCTGACTCCCCAACCCCATTTGAATGCTTATGGCATTCAGTCATGTATATTCTAAAGACTAATGTAATGCTTAATCTTTCTGTTTATGCCCACTTTTCTCCAGTTTGATTCTTTGTGAACCAGTTATACATACTGGTGGTGGATTTGACAGTTATTCTGCCAAAACAAAGAAAAAGAGCCACTTCCCAAACCCTGCAAGCCAATAAATCCATTTGTTATAAAACGGAGGCAAACGAAGAATGAAGACTATTATGTGGTGGGGGGAAAAAACAAAGTTTTCACATGCAGTGTGTTTTATTTATTTATTTATTGTGTCAGGAGCAAGCCAAACAGTTGTATTGCATTTTTTTAACAAAGAAACAAAACACAAAGTTTGCAAGTGTGGTAGTTGATTAAATGTCCTTTGACCAGTATCTGGCCACTTGGAGTGCCTCTGGTGTTGCTGGAAGAAGGTCCTCCATGGTGCATGTGGCAGGGCTCAGGTTGCATCGCAGCAGATGGTCTGTAGTTTGCTCTTCTCCACACTCGCATGTCGTGGATTCCACTTTGTAGCCCCATTTCTTAAGATTGGCTCTGCATCTCGTGGTGCCGGAGTGCAGTCTGTTCAGCGCCTTCCAAGTTGCCCAGTTTTCTGTGTGCCCAGGAGGGAGTCTCTCATTTGGTATCAGCCATTGATTGAGGTTCTGGGTTTGAGCCTGCCATTTTTGGACACTCGCTTGCTGAGGTGTTCCAGCGAGTGTCTCTGTAGAACTTAGAAAACTATTTCTTGATTTAAGACTTAAATGCAGTGTGATGAACAGATACCAAATTAGAGGTGGCTCTTCACACTCACTTGGGTAGAAACATTCAGTTTTTTTGCCAGCTTATATGTCACATCATTTATTTCGGTCATAGACCAGCACAAGAAATAAAAGTCACATTTTCATACGAACTTGGTACATTTAGTACATTTAAAATGTAAATATAAATACTGAAGCACAATAGGGGGTGAGGGAGCGGAAAGGGAAACAGGGCAAGAACATACAATGCACAGGTCTATCAGCAAATTATAGAATCAAGGAAGATGATTACTGGAAACACAGTTGACTTTTGGGACTGGTCATCCTTGACAGATTTTGTATGCTGCTACACAAAACTTTGCAACATTTTAGGTTGTAGCTGAATTAGTATCTACAAGTAGCAGGGGGGTATAAAATTGTCCTGCCTGTAGAGTGAGTCATTTTGAGATCTGAATCCATTGGAGACAGTACATGTTGTTCGTGTGGTTGTGTGCCTTCAAATCATTTCTGACTTTATGATGACTTTAGACAACTATATCACAAGGGTTTCTGGATTGGAAAGAGTGCAACTTGCCCATTGGGTTTTCATGGCCAAGCATAAAAATGAACTTTGGTCTCCAGAGTAGTAGTCCAATGCTTAAAACACTGCACCACATTGCCTCTTGAGCACTGTTGTCAAAGAAAAGTGGCATCTGCTTATAAACAACTGTATCATGGACTTTTCTTAGTGAATGTAGACCTCACTGCCCATTCTTTGAAAAGTGTAATAACACGCAAAACACTGGATCTAAGTTTCAATCCTTTTCTGCAGGTGGGAAGTGAATCCCCTTTATTGCAATACAGTGAAGGAGATTTATCCTTACAGCAGTGGCAACCGGCTACTCAATATCATTGACATGGCAATCTTTGACTTTTTAATAGGTAAGCAGAAACAGCTAATCTTGTTGATTTGATTGAGAGCTATTTGCTAATATTATTGATCTGACATGCTGCCCCTAAAGCTGAAAAGGTCCCTTATTATGTGGAATTCAGCTAGCTTGGGAATTCATTATAGATCTGTGTCTGGCATACCTGGATGGCAACAGGTTGGGAAAAAATGTTACAGCCAACAATGTTGGAGATATTAGAGTGAAGCTACTACGAACCAGACCCAGCATAACCAACTGTTAGGAGGACTAAGAGTTACAGTCCAGCAATATTTGGAAGACCACATGTTTCCCTTCCCTGGTGTAGTATACAACAGTAAGACCTAATGTATGAACTAGATAGGGCAGAACCATCATTTGCTTTGTAACCAGAAGAGTAATTCAGAATGGGCACAGCAGCTGCATATCACCTCCAAAACGCAGGTGCCTTCCCAATATACACTACAAGTAAGCTAAGAGTATGGCATGTGCTGTAAGACTCAACGGTTCTGGCCCTACTTACCTCTCCAAATGCATCTCCTCCTATGAACCAGCTAGGACACTAAGATCATCTGGGGAGGCCCTGCTCTCTGCTTGGTGGGGACGAGAGACAGGGCCTTCTCAGTGGTGGCCCCTCGGCTGTGGAACGCCCTGCCTGCGGATATCAGATCGGCCCCCTCCCTGCTCGCGTTTCGGAGGAAAGTGAAGACCTGGCTGTTCAAACAAGCATTTGATTAAACAGTGTAATTGAACATAGGAATACGGAATAATAGATGATGAGACTGGATTCTGATTTTATTGTTGAGGCGCTAATGATTGTTATACGGATGTTTAATGATTTATGTTACAATTGTTTTTAATTGCCCTATACTTGTCTAGTGATGTTTTGTATTGATGTTGTTCACTGCTTTGAGTCGCCTGAGGGCTGAGAAAAGCGGTATATAAATAAAGTAAATAAATAAATAAATAAATAAACATGACATCAGTACATGATGGACCAAGTGATAAGAAAATATGACTATCCTGACCAACTGTTGCACCCCATTCCTGAATACACCCATGATAACAATGCCACAAAAAAGTTGAAAGTATAAGCAAATGGTTTATTGTAAAAATACATTAAAATATATGAAAAATCAGGAATAAAGATGTATAAACCAAAAAAGGGTTAGTAAAAGATGATAACCAAGCAGTTATCCAAATGTCTCATGCAGATCCCAAGCTAACACAGTCCAGGAATAGTAAAAAAAAAAATCACAAGTACAGCATAGGTACATAAGCAAAAGGTATACTTAGTAAAACTTGACCAGGAATGCAAAAACAAGAACAGTGAAAACTTCCAGGATACTTAAATCCAAAACCAAGGCTTGACTTGAAACAAAAACCAGAGAACTCGGGCCTTAAATGCTACATTGCCTGAACTAACCCTAACTTGCTAATTAATAGGCACCCATGAAGTCATTCCTTTTCCCATGAATTTTCTCCCCAATTTTCCCACGTAATCACTCTGACTGGTGCTGTATATTTTCTGCTCTAGTGTAACATGCACAGATATCTATAACAACAAATACAAAGAACTGCAGATTGCAAATCACAATTTCTATATTACAGGAAAGTCTTCATTAAACATAACGCAGGAACAGTAACACTACTGATTAGTAATTGTTTATAAATGAAAGGTTGCTTATCAATATTCTGTAAACACAATGAAATTTAAGCTTCCAATTAGTTCATGACCTCATGCAAAGTTGCTTGTCAATGTTTTTAGAATATAATGAGATCTCCGTTTCCAAAGAAACAATTTCTGTGTTGTAAAAGGTTCTTCATCAATACATAATGTCAGGAACAGTAACACAACAAAATCTCCCGGGTTGTTTTCCTTGTTTCGTAATATCTTCTAAAGGTGTTGGTCTTATCTATGATGTTTGAATTCACTAAATAAGAAATAAAGCAACATACAGAAAATAGATATACTACAATCCCCAAATTGACATAGTTTTGGAAAGGTTGTTGATGTACACGCTTGACTACTTACATTAGTAGCTATTGGCTCTGTTGTAAGTGCCTGTCTGTCTTTATAGCCTGAACTAATGAAGAATCTCCTGGTATATAGTAATTGTCATTTTGGAAACTTACATTTCATTGTGTTTACAGAACATTGATAAGCAGCCTTTCATTTATAAACAATTACTAATCAGTAGTATTACTGTTCCCACGTTACGTTTAATGAAGATTTTCCTGTAATATAGAAATTGTGATTTGCAATCTGCAGATTTTTTGTATTTATTTTCTGCTCTAATCTGTAAACAAAGACTTTTATTGATCTCCGTAGCTCCAGGTGTTTTTCCCTGGGAGCTTTCTGTATCACCTAACTCTTCGCCCAAACTCCTTATCTAGTGTTGCAGTTTCTGGCTCCTCTGACTGACCTTGAAGCCCTGCGCTTTCTGAGTTAGGTTTGTCCCAGAGAGAACCATCATTTCCTTAACTTGAATCTTCATCACTTTGTGCCCCAGGAAATCCCACAACCCTCTCAAAATCATGAATGAACCCATCAACTTCAGACTGTACTACAATACACACATTCTGTCCATATAGCAGCAGTCCAGATATCCACAAACCATTTTATCAGTGTCTGCTGACTCAGTTGAATTTCTGCTCACTGAACATCCATAATCAAGAAGCGATACTGTGAGCTTTTAAAACATTTCTTTCTTTGGATGTGGTGTTTATCACCACAGGCTTCTTGTTCCTTGGGATAAAAATTGACCACACTGATATATCCTGAATGTTATGTCTGCACAAAATAGTCAGTCAACTTAGATTAATTCCAGGGATTGCTAATCAAGTTTCTTTCTCTCTTTAATAAGGCAATATGGACCGTCATCATTATGAGATGTTCACCAAGTTTGGAGATGATGGCTTTTTGCTCCACTTGGACAATGCAAGAGGGTAAGGTAGAAGATTTAAAGAAAAAATGGGTGATTTTCTTTCAAGAAGTAGTCCAAGGATGTTCTCATGCAAGTTAAGGATTAGCAAAATACCTGCTAATCTGAGTTGCTATGTCCTCCTGGAATCCCATGCATTTTAGTAGGGCATTGTGAAGTATTGTACTAACCAATTTTAGAGTTCACACTGGGAAAACTGGGGATGCTAAGAGTGTTGATGGGTTTTGGAAGTGACTAATGCCAAGGATTTAGTTACCAATGAATGTGCTCAGAATTCCCTGAGAAGGAGTATGTAGACAAGAAAAGCTAGTCTAATCATTATGTTTGTAATGTAAATTCAGCCTCACATATACCAAAAAAGGGAATGGGAGTTCATCTTGACGTTCTATTGATTTCACAGTGAGAAGTCTTCTGTATATTTAATGGCAAAAGCCAGGAGCTAGCCGGATACATCTCCAGCTACAGCAGCTTCTCAGTCAAAATTGGGGAGGAAGGGGGTTCCTCTTCCTATTGCAGCCCTCAGTGTCCCTCAAAAACCTTTCTAGGGAATGCAAAACTCCTAGAGGTAGGATCAGGCCTAAGGTGAAGGTGATTAGGGGAAGGAAATTCTGTTGCACCAACATTGATGCAGAGATGGCTGTATATGTTTGAAAGTTATTGCCATAGACATGGAAGATCACACTTACAGTAATAATATTTTTTAAGCAAGACAAAAATCAGACATGTCATTTTCTTTCCAAGTGTAGGATTAGTGTTTCACAGCAGCCTTTTAAAAACCACATATTCATTGGAAGAATTCTTCGTGACAACCCGCTGGTTCTGCAGCAACACTTCTACCAGTGATGACAAACAACTATATTTTTGTTTTGCCCAATGAGCAGAAAAAATGAACATGCAAACAAACAGTTTCCCTTAGCACGAAGGCCAATAAAAAGCAGGCAGTCTCTCGAGTAATAGAGTAAACTCATAATTATGAATTTTCCATTAATGAAAAATATTGAAGTAATTTGATGGTTGGCCTTATGTTCTCCTGTGCTTTCCATTAGAATGCGCCCAGTGGCCAAATGAACAGAATTGTTGGAGATTCCAATTTCTTTTTTTTAATTTCATTTGAAGGCATGCACAGGGATCCTTAGATGGGGTTCGGAGGACTGCAGCATTGGGAGACTGTGTAATTTTCTCCCTGTTAATTGCACACCTGCACCACTTTCAGACATGACGTACAATTGGTATTGCTCTTTAGTCAAGAATGTACATTTTCCTGAACAGAGGAAATGGAGTTTGGGATGGTGAATGTTTAACGAGAAGATTGGAGCTTGGTCAACCCCAGCTCCAGCCTAGGAATTCTGACCTGACCTCGAGAGTATGTGGGAGTTGCTTTTCAACAATTTATAGAGAAAGGCAGTCCAATCTGGAGCATCTTTTATAGTTTGCCACTTCGGGAAGTTCCAGACAGGACTGTAATGCGAGCACAATTGGGTTTAAAAAACCCGATTGGGCCCGCATTGGAGTTCACACACATTCCAGAAACCCCATGCTTTCCTGCAGGGGGAACTTTCCAGCAGGGCACCCAAACACAAAACAAACATCCCAAAAAAAGCCTTTTTAAAAGAAAATTATGGTGGAGGTAAATACCCAGCCATTATTACCATGCTGCTGGAGCTGTCCAGTGTGTAGAAATGTCACGGCAGGAGAAGGGAGGATAGGTCAATTTTCCTCCTCCTCCTTCTCCCGGCGCACCATTTCTATGCGCCAGGACAACTCCGACAGCACGATAATGGTGGTCGAGTAAGTTATTTTCTTTTTAAAAGGCTTTCCTGGGGAGTTTGGAGAAGGTTAAAGCCCTCTCAGATATTCCAGATTCATGGAACCCAGAAAACATGAGAGGACTGTTGTTGACTTCCCTCTCAGACATCCTAGGACTTCTGAAGGGGCAATCCAGACAGCTCCCACAACTAGAAAGACCTGGGTCTTTCTAGCTGTCAAATTACTCCGGGAAAGGTGAGGTTTTCTTGCTTTGTCCCAAAGGATTGCATTTTTACCTGAGGCTTCATTTGGACGGGGCATAAAAAATGTGAGCACTCACGTGTTTTAGGCGATGTCTGGATGCTCCCTTAGTTAAGTCCTTTGAGGTCTGGAAAGTCACACAAACTCCAGAGAGTTTTTCTTTTATATCAGGTAACACTTGACCCTTGTGTCCCATGCAGACATAAACACACCACGCTAAAACAGTGGATATGGCTCTTAATGAGACATGCCGCATTATCACGGGGTGTCTGCGCCCTACACCACTGGAGAAATTACACTGTTTAGTCAATATTGCACCACCTGACATCTGTCGGGAAGTAGCAACCAATAGTGAAAGGACCAAGGCAGTGACATCTCCAGCTCATCCCCTGTTTGGATATCAGCCAGCACGTCAATGACTTAAATCAAGAAATAGTTTTCTAAGATCTACAGAGACACTCGCTGGAACACCCTCAGCAAGCGAGAGTCCAAAAGTGGCAGGCTCAAACCCAGAACCTCAATCAATGGCTGATACCAAATGAGAGACTCCCCCCTGGGCACACACAAAACGACTTGGAAGGCACTGAACAGACTGCCCTTTGGCACCACGAGATGCAGAGCCAACCTTAAGAAATGGGCTACAAAGTGGAATCCACAACATGCGAGTGTGGAGAAGAGCAAACCACTGACCACCTGCTACAATGCAGCCTGAGCCCTGCCACGTGCACAATGGAGGTCACTTCTGGAGCAACCTGAGCCCTGCCACATGCACAATGGAGAACCTCCTTGCAGCAACACCAGAGGCACTCCAAGTGGCCAGCTACTGGTCAAAGGACATTTAATCAACTACCAGGCTTGCAAACTCTGTTTTGTCTGTTTGTTAAAAATTTGTTTAAAATGTAATACAATTGTCTGATTGATACTGACACAATAAATAAATAAATAAACAAATAAATAAACAGTCAATCATTTTTAGTGGCAGCTGCTACTAGTAAAAGCACACTACTTAGGTAGAAAGGAGATCCTCTGCTCTGGCAATCTACAGATCTCTATGTTTCAGGAGGATATGCCAATATTCCTGAAGTATAAAGAGTTATCCTAGTTGCTTTCAGGTCTCAGCAGTACAGTTACTGACAGTATTAATAGTACCAATAATGAATTTCTTCCCCCAATCTATGGGGCTGGATACCACTGCATGTTCCAGACATCAGGAATTTGTTCAACCCAGTTTTAAGGCACCAGGGAATTGTCTGGGACTGAAGATAGTAGGCTAAGTGGCATGGTGGTTTGATAGATTAGATTGGTTGACTCAGAACTTCCTGCAACTTCCAGCCACCATTTCCTCCTGCAGCAGATTGACTACTGACTTCTAGGTTGGGCTGGAGGTATGGTCTGGTTTTGAGATCTACACATCTCTTTCTCTACCTATGGCTCAGTCAAGTCTGGATTGGTTGCGTGGGAAATTATTTTAAAAAAGAAGATAAAAATACCTTCCCTTCAGTGTGACGGTTCTTTTCCAATCTGCTCTTTTGGGGCACAAAGTCAAATAGGATAAAGCCATATATAACAGATTTACATCTTATTGACTACCTTCTTCTGTTGAGCACTTCCTTCAGCTGATTTCGCATCCCCACCCCATTTTCTCTGCTTGTTTGGAATATTTCCCCATTATTACTTCTTTAATACATGTACCTGTTGCTCTCACAGATTTGGGAGGCACTCCCATGATGAGATCTCCATCTTGGCTCCGCTGGAACAGTGTTGCATGTAAGTACTTGTCATTCCAAATTATTTTAATTAAATGTGTAAAGTTTTATTTTGTTCTTAATAAAAGCTAGCTCCCTGGGCATAGAAAACAAGCAGGCAAGGACTTGATTAAGCTGATGGTGATTGAGCGAGACATCATCGGCCGGCTGGACCCTCAAGGTCCAATTTGTTTTGGCATCTGTCAAAGATCCTGCTCATCTCCTCTTATCTTCCAAATGTATCCATTTTAGTTCAATAAGGGATTCTAGGAAATGAAAAAAGAGTGTATTTTTACAATACCCATTATCTCTTAGCACTTCCCAAGCTAACATTTCATAGAATCATAGAATCATAGAGTTGGAAGAGACCTCATGGGCCATCCAGTCCAACCCCCTGCCAAGAAGCAGGAATATTGCATTCAAATCACCCCTGACAGATGGCCATCCAGCCTCTGTTTAAAAGCTTCCAAAGAAGGAGCCTCCACCACACTCCGGAGCAGAGAGTTCAACTGCTGAACGGCTCTCACAGTCAGGAAGTTCTTCCTCATGTTCAGATGGAATCTCCTTTCTTGTAGTTTGAAGCCATTGTTCCTTGTCCTAATCTCCATGGAAGCAGTAAACAAGCTTGCTCCCTCCTCCCTGTGGCTTCCTCTCACATATTTATACATGTGTTCTGTCACACGCTGGGCCTGTAAAGAATTTCCTTTAGAATGGGACATGCAACCTTTGCCCAGCGGAAAGCCCAAGGAGAAGTTCTCAGAGGCTTTCCACCACAAATAGTTTTTAGATGGCTTGTGAAGTACAACAAAGTCTTTTATTAATGAACAATCAAACAGAAACTTCTCTTGTCTTCAGAAAATTAAACAAATGATTCCAGGCTTTTATGCAACTGGTAGCTTCCTAAACTTGCCCACGAAGGACAGGCAACTTCTTCTTTACTTTAAAGGAAAGTCCCCTTTTTAACTTCTCCCAGGCTGACTGTAATCTAACCCTTACTGATGTGGGCTCCGCTACCGGGTCGAACTGCTTCTCGAACGCCGAGTGGACCTACCAGTAAGGCAGTAGATGTTCTCCAGCTGGAGTTCTTTGGTCTTTAGAGCTGTTTTCCTGGAAATTCTTTGGAGACTCTTAAGACCTTTCTCCCCCGGAAGGTCTTAAGGGTTGAAGCTTTTGTACAGGGGAAGCTTGCACACATCCTATACATAAGCTTTCCTTGCTGAGACTAACTAAAAATGGCTCCCTTCCCTTCCCAATTGCCCTGAGCAAGGGGCGGAACCAAAACTTAATGATGATGGACAGGTGACTTGCCCTACGACTGCAACCAAAGGAAGCCACCTTTCTGCAGAACCCCTGAAACCCTGGACTGCAAGCAAACATTTAATACAAAGCAAATAAAGTTGGAGCTCCTGGTACAGCCGTACCAGCACAACATGGCTATCATATCTCCTCTCATCCTTCTCTTCTTCAGGCTAAACATGCCCAGCTCCTTAAGCCGCTCCTCATAGGGCTTGTTCTCCAGACCCTTGATCATTTTAGTCGCCCTCCTCTGGACACATTCCAGCTTGTCAATATCTCTCTTGAATTGTGGTGCCCGGAATTGGACACAATATTCCAGGTGTGGTCTAACCAAAGCAGAATAGAGGGGTAGCATTACTTCCCTAGATCTAGACACTATGCTCCTATTGATGCAGGCCAAAATCCCATTGGCTTTTTTGCCGCCACATCACATTGGCGGCAATGTGTACCTAGGTCCTGAATCCTTTTGCTGCCCTGTACCCATCCGAATTTCAGAAGGTGAAGAGTATGGTGGGGAAATATCCAAGCAATGATGGTGAGGAAATACACATCTCTGAGATCACCCCACTGTCACCAGCTGCTCTTTCAAAGTTGAGTGTTTGGGCCATTTTCTTAAAAGCATTCAGCAGATCTGACAAAAGAGATCAGTTTCTCTGAATTATTTGCAGAGCAGGCTTGCCTGAAATTACAGTTACATGCAAATTTCACAGTCTTAACTACTAGGCACCCAGCCTTTCACCTTCAAAGCTGCCGTTTGTCATCTCTCATGGAAACTGAAGCATTTCTTTTGATTCCTGTCAAGAACATTCAGATTTGATTGGTATCGCAAGGGTCTAAAAGAGCCCGAATCCCATCTATTACATATGTGCCCCCTTCAGCCATTAAAGTGCTGGTCATAAATTTTGCTGCCAGAATTCTCTCCAAGCTACTCTTTTATGAATGGGCATAAATCAGGAATCTAGGCATGTAAAGAGCTGTGGCAAAGGGTTATTCACCTTCTGGGTTTTTTTCATCAACCCATTTCCACCTTCTTCCCTCTGCCTTCCTGGGCTGCCTGATGCCAATAAGATCATCCCTGGCGGTACAGCTATATTGAGCCTCCAGGTCAGATTTCAAAAGCTATTATTCACACCTTTCAGGACTTCTAGTTGATAATTACAGGGTTGCCAATAAATCACATGAGCCTGCATGATTTCAGATTGGCTCATGACGAGACTGAAATAACCACCTCCTTGCAGCCACCAACTTTTACTAAATCCGTATATCAACTGCAGGGAGGATCTGGCCCGCAGCAGCATCAAGCATTAATAACACAAATCGGCCATTTGTTTTATTCCTATTTGAACAGAGGCAAAGGGAGTCACACTAATGATGTACGAGGAATATAGGCAAGGGTTGATGTCCTCCTTTTGTACTTCCAAAGAAAGCCTCCAAGGAGGTGCATAGGACTGTTTGTGATAAATGTCGTACATTTCTCTTTCAGAGATTAATTCCTCTCTTCCTCCCCAACCTTTTTGGCTGGGAAGCCATCCTCCTTCCTTTTTTCTTCTCCCCATTGCCAGCCCCTGTGGCTCAGACAGGTTTTTGTGACTAAGAAAACCTGTCACTTGCAATGTTTTTTCCAGCTAAAGATTTACTCTATTTTTATTGTTATTATTACATTTATTATTTTACTCTCTTATTATTACAGTAATTATTTTACTCTCTTATCACAGTTACTTCCATTATTATACTCCATTATTATTTATTATTTTTATTGCTTCGATTAATGTAAATTATTAATTAATTAACTGCCAGGGGATAGTTCCACCTTGACTTCTGTGCTATGCTAATAATATAATATAGTATATTGTATATACATATAATATTATAATGTAATACAATATAATACTACTACTAATAATATGATAATTATATATTTTATGTTACATGTAATATTACGAATAATATTACAATATAATGGTATAGTACAATATAATAATATATAATACTGATATTGTACTATACCACCGGTGGCGCAATGGGTTCAACCCCTGTGCCGGTAGGACTGAAGGCTGACAGGTCGCAGGTTCGAATCCGGGGAGAGGCGGATTAGCTCCCTTCTATCAGCTCCAGCTCCTCGTGCAGAGACATGAGCGAAACCTCCCACAAGGATGATAAAAACATCAAAAAAATCATCAGGGCGTCTCCTGGGCAACATCCTTGCAGATGGCCAATTCTCTCATACCAGAAGTGACTTGCAGTTTCTCAAGTCACTCCTGACACGATAAAATTAAATTAGATAGATAGATAGATAGATAGATAGATAGATATAGATATAGATATGTTACATGTAATATTACTAATAATATTACAATATAATGGTATAGTACAGTATAGTAATATATAATACTGATATTGTACTATGCTAATAATATAATATATTGTATGTATATATATCTTGTAAGCTGCTCTAAGCCCCCTTTGGGGTGAGAAGGGCAGCATATAAATGTCGTAAATAAATAAATAAATTTGTATCTATTTTTATTTTGAAATTTACCCGTAACTGCTGCATTTCCCGCCCTCGGCTTATATTTGACTCAATACGTTTTCCCCGGTTTTTTTTGTGGTAAAATTAGGTATCTTGGCTTATATTTGGGTCGGCTTATACTCAAGTATATACGGTATTTAAGAAATAACCATTTTTGGTGGAACGTTGCTTCAAGAATGCATGGAAGAGAGGTTTTTTGGGGTCTGTGTTATATATCTACCCTCCCTTAGCTAAAAGGAGATAACTGTTGTGTGTCATGCTTTCCTCCTGCCCTTTTTTATCCTTCCAATGGTCCGGTGAGGTAGGCAGGATAGTGTGACTAGCTCAAGGTCACACAGGTAGTTTAATGGTTCAGTAGGAACCAGAATCTAAATCACCCAAGTCTAAAATACACTAACAACTACACTATACTCTCATTCATTCAGTAATTCATTCCCCCCCCCCCCCATTCTTTCTTTCTCCTTGAACTGGGCCCATAATGCAGTCGATATTCACACTTGTTTCTGCTAGATCCCAGCAGCCAGTACTAGGAAGAACTGTATTCTTAGACTTAATTTGCTCATGAATATCAAATGGCCCTGTAGATTCAGTGGGATCATCAAATAAAAAGTATGTATGGTACGTTGTTTTGCAAACACCGGGATTGTGGCGCAGCTGGCTGAGTGTCATTAAGATCACTCTGACCAAAAGGTCATGAGTTAGAAGCCAGCCCGGGTTGGAGTGGGTTTCCAACCAATTGTGTAGCCTGTTGTCGACCTTTGCAATGCAAAAGACGGTTGCATCTGTCAAGTAGGAAAATTAGGTACCACCTTAAGGTGTGGGGAGGCTAAATTAACTAATTTATGAGGCCATTAAAAAAAGACTCCAGCAAGCACTCCAGCAAAATGCATGCGGGGAATGCGGAAGTACTTCATCAGCGTCGCAGATGGAAGATGAAAGCAACAGCTCCCCTGGTGGCCAGAAAAAGTTAAATAGCCTCTGTGTATGTCTGTATATGTTGTAAGTCAAAATTGGCATTGAATGTTTGCCATATATGTATACACTGTGATCCGCCCTGAGTCCCCTGCGGGGTGAGAAGGGCGGAATATAAAAGCTGTAAATAAATACATACATAAATCAGGGTTTTAAGACTCACCTCCAAGATAGCTTGAGAAATATAAATGTGAGTTCCCTGCTAATGCAAGGATGAAGGAAAAATCTGATGTTACTGCTTCAGGGGCAACTTTGTTGAGAAACATTAGGAGGGGATCACTTTTTGAACTACAATTTTCAGTATGTCTAAGTACAGCCATGCTGGACAAGGGATTCAGTGACTGTAGTAAAAAAAGACTTCCCAATTTTTTTTCATATCCGATGTATTCACCATCCATGTGGCAAACACACAATTGGAAGGTATTAGTAATCTCAGATATCCAGGAAAAAGACTCTATCTTAATACGCTGCCCGCATGCATAACCAATTACTGGATCAGAATGTAAAGACAGCCAAGGCTTAGCTTGTTGTTATATATTTTTAAAGCCAGGGCACAGCTGCAGGGGGAAAATGAAGCAATAACAGTGTTTTACTTAAGTGTATTCCAATTTTTTGTCCTTACATAAGGGAGCAGCAATGCCTGCGCAGGAGTAAGAAATGGATGCAGTCAAATTGTACAGTAAACAAAATAGGATTCAAGACTCCTGAGGAAAAAACACACTAATTTAATTCTATTTGTTTTTAAAAGAATTGACATTTTGAAATATGAATCTTTCCCTAGTAAAATGATTTGGAGTGTATATATTTCAAGTAGTTCCTAAACTTTCTTAGACCACTCTTTTAAGAATATGTGATGGCTGCTTTTTCAGTAACATACAGTAAGTATCCATAGGTAATACATTTCTGGATAAAATACCAAATTAGCTTACTTCCAGTCCCAGCACATAATAGAGATTCTCTAGGAATTTGCTAGGTTTTCCAGTAACTTCCAGGAGAAGCATACCATAGAATAGGCCTGCACATCCTGTGGCCTTCCAGATGTTTGGGCCTCCAACTCCCATAAGCCGTATCCAGGTTGTCCCATGATCAGGGATTCTGGGTGTTGAAATTCTATGGCAGACCTAACATAGAATCACCTGGAGGACATAGCAAAATTTGAGAAATACCATTTTCTCTAGGCATAGATAAGTGAAATCACAAATGTGAGTTCCACAATTATGGCAGATCTTACTGTATATCCTGAACATTTGATTGTCTAAAGCAGGGGTCCTCAAACATTTTAAACAGAGGGCCAGGTCTCAGTCCCTTAAACTGTTGGAGGGCCGGATTATAATTTTTAAAAAAATGAATAAATTCCTATGCACAATGCACATATCTTATTTGTAGTGCAAGAAACACTTAAAAACAATACAATAATTAAAATAAAAGACAATTTTAACAAATACAAACTTATTAGTATTTCAATGAGAAGTGTGGATCTGCTTTTGAGATAGGATTGTTATTGCATTGTCGAAGGCTTTCATGGTTGGAATCACTGGGTTGTTGTAGGTTTTTCGGGCTATATGGCCATGTTCTAGAAGCATTCTCTCCTGACGTCTTGCCTGCATCTATGGCAAGCATCCTCAGAGGTAGTGAGGTCTGTTGGAACTAGGAAAGGGTTTATATATCTGTGGAATGACCAGGGTGAGACAAAGGACTCTTGTCTGCTGGAGCTAGGTGTGAATGTTTCAACTGACCACCTTGATTAGCATATAATGGTCTGACAGTGCCTGGGGCAAACTTTTGTTGAGAGGTGATTAGATGTCCTTGTTTGTTTCCTCTCTGTTGTTGTGCTGTTGTAATTTTAGAGTTTTTTAATACTGGTAGCCAGATTTTGTTCATTTTTATGGTTTCTTCCTTTCTGGGTGTTGAAATTCTATGGCAGACCTACCATAGAATCACCTGGAGGACATAGCAAAATTTGACATAGCAAAAATGTTGAAATTGTCCACATGCTTGTGTATTTCAATGGCTTCTCTGTGTAGTCTGACATGGTGGTTGTGAGAGTGGTCCAGCATTTCTGTGTTCTCAAATAAAAACAAGGACATCTAATCACCTCTCAACAAAAGTGCTCTAGGCAATGTCAGACCATTATATGCTAATCAAGGGTCAGTTGAAACATTCACACCTAGCTCCAGCAGACAAGAGTCCTTTGTCTCCCACCCTGGACATTCCACAGATATATAAACTCCACTTGCCTAGTTCCAACAGACTCACAACCTCTGAGGATGCCTGCCATAGATGCAGGCAAAACGTCAGCAGAGAATGCCTCTAGACCATGGCCATATAGCCTGAAAAAACCTACAACAACCCAGGATTGTTATTGTTGTTGTTGTTGTTGTTGTTGTGTGCTTTCAAGTCGTTTCAGACTTAGATTGACCCTGAGTGAGGGCCGGGTAAATGACCTTGGAGGGACGTATCTGGCCTCCCGGGCCTTAGTTTGAGGACCCTTGGTCTAAAGAGTAATCTAAAAATCAAACATTTGTCACTAACGTGAGAATGACCAAAGGTGTTAAGTGCCAAAAGAAAACTAAAAAGAATTACTGAGGAAAAAAGAGAGTGATATAAGGATGTTCAGAGCAAGACCAAAGGTTTGTGTAAGTTTCAATCTCAGACATATTGAGATTGCAGGGGACAAGGACTTTGTCTCAGCTCTTAGAATCATAGAGTCATAGAGTTGGAAGAGACTTTGCAGGCCATCCAGTCCAACCCCCTACCAAGAAGCAGAGAAATCACATTCAAAGCACCCCTGACAGATGGCCTCTGCTTAAAAGCCTCCAAAGAAGGAGCCTCCACCACACTCTGGGGACAGAGGGAACAGCTCTAATAGTTAGGAAGTTCTCCCTAATGTTCAGGTGGAATCTCCTTTCCCGTAGTTTCCTGTAGTTCTTCATAGCTTATTCCAAAGAGAAGATCATATCTGGCTGATAGAAACCCTGACCATTGGAAGGACAAAGAAATTTTGCAAAAAAGTGTTACACTGTGAAGAAGAAAAAGGCATAGGGAACCCTTGTAGGCTGAAAGCAATACACAAACACTTAAAATAAAATAACAAATGGCTGCACCGGATTTAAAATTTCTCTTTCCAAAAAAGGATGAATACTGCCCAGATTGCACTGTACAAAGGGATTTTTGAAACACATGAAGCCAAACCATGGGTTTATTTCACTGAACATTTTCTGTTCCCTGGAAGCCTCTCCCTGAGATTTCAGGCAGCAATATTATAAGCCCTGCTTTAATATGGAAATAATAAAGAACTGAATTTGAGCCCAGCCACATTGCAAAGCACGCCTTTCGCAGCTGAGTTGCAACCCTTCTCTGTATGCCAAATGTTCTTTTCACTTGTTAATGGGCTCACAACCAGTTCCCAAACATCTGGAATGAGAAGGAGACTCTCAGCAGGTTTAAGCCCCAACACCTGTTATTAAAAATTAAGCATTGGCCATAGGAATCCGTATTCATCTCTGTGCAGCTCTAGCACAAAGAAAAGCTCTTTGGGCGAGAGAACTTCTTTGAAATCTCTTCTTTTCTTTTCCCTCCTCCAGAATAAAGAAGACGACATTATTACGGCTGCAGCTCTTAGCTCAGCCAGAGTACAAGCTCAGTGATATCATGCGGGAGTCCCTGATGCGGGACCGCCTGACACCAGTACTCACAGAGCCACACCTTTTGGCACTGGACAGGAGGTTACACATCATCTTGAAGACAGTGGAGAAATGCATAGAGGCCAATGGAGAAGACATTGTTGTGGTTGACACGAGACCTCTGGAGATGCCTGTCTTTGACAGAGTGACACAGCCAAGCTAGAACCTGCTGGAAATTAGAATCTAAACTTTCAATGAGATGCTCTTTTATCCTGGACAATTGGGAGAAATGGGGGAGACCTCTAGAAGGTCACAAGTGTCTAAGTTGGAGGCTGGTTAGGTGGTCGCAATGGTACAATTGGTCAGATTTCATTTGTATATCTTGGAACCTTGCTCGCTCCCATTCCAGGGACCTTGGTGCATCTTCTCCAAAAGATGTGAAAGCACTTTCTAGCTGAAAGACCATGTACTTTTGGATATTGGGTGCATCTTGTCCAAAAGATGTGACAGCACACTTTAGCTGAAGATGGTGCGCTTTTGGTGATGGGTACATTTCATGAGATCTTTCTAAGCATTTGCAGTCTCAGAGGTGTATGATTAGAAGTTAAGTGGTGGCTTGAATAAAAAGGACCAATGGAAGGAACACATGACTACTGTCCATCTGAACATCTACATGAGGATACTCAGCAACCCTTGGCAGTCATAGCAGGAAAACCGGAAGCCTAGACAAAGGCAAAATTAAAGTGGGCTAACATAACAATACTTCACAGTCTTCACAGTGATGGCATGTACTGAGATAATAAATGCAACCCAAGTTGCAGGAATTGAGAGTTAAGAGAGGGTGTTCAGAGAATATAACTTGACATGTCCCTAGGCTGCTGCACAGAAAGGTTTGTTTTATTTTGTGTCAGGGATGTGTGTTGCCTCTAGGGACCTCGCCACTCTGATAATAAAGGTTGATAGGAACTGCAGTGTAATACTACCTTGCAGGCCACATGCTTCCCACCTCTGTAATGATTCATTAACTACTTTGCATTGTGTTGCTTCTGTTGAGCTTCTGGACAAAGCGGAGAAAGATGTCCTTGAAGTAAGGCCAAAGCACACAACACCCTGGACCTGTGGGTTATTACAGCTGCTACATGAAGTAGCGAGTACACAGACCTCCAGTCTCCCCAAAGTGACTCTGAATATAAGGAACAGAATACAATGCCTGCTAAACTGCAAAATGCCAGTTTAGCAGATCAGGTGGAATCATAGCGCTTGTATTTGTGTAGAATGAATAAGATCCCTGGCACTGAAAACACTCTTCAGGGATAGGAAATGGTTCCAGTTAAGCTCTAAAGTAGAATAGCAGCCTGAATATTCAATGGGTTTTTAGCTGGACAGAATCATCTGGCCCCAGAAATTGCTGTACTCTCAAGCAAAGGATCTAGTTCTGAAGGCCGAAAAGACACCTTTGCCACCTCTGCCATAGTGAAGTCAAGCAGTTTGCTTTGATTGCTATCCCAAACTAAAATACTCCCATTCCAAGTTGTTCTAAGGATGTGTCCCAGATATAAAAATAATAGTTGCATGAGAACTACTTCTCCTTCCAGCCCATCAGGAATTCATTATCATCCACAGAAAGTGCATCAGCACAATCAACACTGAATTTGAGGTTTTTAAAAATCAAATTATGCACATTAACAAACCCAAATAATTGCTATATGTGCGTTGTGTAACTCCCGGGATTGTATAGTAACTCTTGCACCCATCGGTCTGGGAAATTGTCTAAATATTTTTTGTCAGAATGAAGGAGATGGTGAAAAAAAGATCTTTTAGCTGTTTTGGCCAAGTAGCCTTACATCAGCTCTTACTTCTCTTTATACACGCCAGAAGTTAACAAACCAATACTAATAGGAAATATATTTGCTCCAGTTTTGTCCTTTTTTGTTTTTCATTAAATATAATTTCTGCTTGGCTTTCAGCAATGGAATGGCATATCTTAAAATGGATTATGAAAATAGATTTTGGTATTTAATATCCATCGTAAAGCTCCCTCTGCTGACATTTTTAGGTAGTAACAAAGATTTCAATGGCAAAGGGACTGCCCAGGTTCAAGGGGCAAGGAAAAAGGGAGAGCTCAAGAGTGAGATTGGATGGTTGCATTTGCATAGTGTCCCCAGAGTAAATGCACTGATCCAGAATCCTCTGGGCTCAGTAATTTATTTCTCATGTAAGTAAAATAGAAATTCAAAATATGACATAAGATATAGAATAGGAAGGAGGGTCCTTGCAAAGGCTGCATGTCATAAATGTCCACAGTAATAACAAAAAAGGAACCAGGATTTGTTTATATCCCAAATAAAAACAGATTCAACTGTATGTCGGCCTACTAATAATATGGTGGAGAAAAAGGCTTGCATGTGCCCTGCCAGGATCCACTCTTTTATCATGGTGGAGGGGGACAATTTTGTCATATTTTAGGCCACTCTGGGTTCTCTTAAATCCCGGAGTGAGCTCTTTTTGTAGGAAGTGACCATTTTAAAAAAGAAATCTTCTCCTGGCCCGAAACCAGAACCATAAGAGAGCAAGTTGCTTCCATTTTCCTAAAGAGCAGATATGAGCAAGGAGTACAGTACTGTGCAGTTCCCTCACGGCCCAGAAAACCATTCACTGTCCCAGAATAGCTGGCTGCTTAACTCAGAGATCAAATAGGACACTTGATTCATCTGAAAATCTTATTGTTTGATCAATGGCTATTTCCATTTTCAGCTCTGCCCATGACTTTTGGAGTCCCATTTTTGTTTTTTTAATCAACAGGTGACAAGCTCAATTCACTTTTTAAAAATATATAGGTCAGGACAGTAACAAGCCAAAGGTTTACAAACCTGAGTTTGAAACCACATACCTGCAAGCTGACTATATCCACTATTTATTTTGTGGCTCACAAGGGTAACCTTCCAAAATTAAAATTTGGTGACATGCCACCTTCCTGGCACTTTGGCCTTTGAAGTGATATTTTTCATTTCAGCAAGGCATACAGTTTTCATAAAACTACTTCTGAGCAAGATAAGCATTGGTGAGAAATTATCCTTTTAAAATTCTGCCAGAATTAGAGATGAAATCCTTGGGTTGAGGGGTAATGTCCCCTGGATCCATGGAAATTACCCACTCTTTTCCCTTTGAAGGTCACAAAATATAGTTGGACTTGATCATGAAGGAGACAAAATCTAATTGAGCAATGCCTTATTAGGGTCAATCAAAATGCCACAGAAAAGTTCCAATTTCTCCTAATTATCTAGCATTCCTTATAACAAGTTAAGTAGTAGGAGGTGGAAGGAAACAGAAAAGCAAATGAACAAGAATCATTCTTGTGGTCTGGAGGTTTATAGTTAAATTCAGTCTCATGATGGAAACTGCAAACAACGACTCATTGGTAGGTGGACAAGTTTTGGAATACAATCAAACAACGAAAACTGGAACAAATCAACAGAGCCCTATATGTGAAAAATATAAAGGTCATCTGGCATAAAGCAGAAAAAATGGAGAAACGTGACAGTCCTTACATAAGCTTTACAACAGCGTTTCTCAACCTGGGGGTCGGGACCCCTGGAGGGTTCACGAGAGGGTATCAGAGGGGTCGCCAAAGACCATCAGAAAATGCAGTATTTTTTGTTGCTCATCTGGGTTCTGTGTGGTGGGGTTCAGAATGCTCTTTGATTGCAGGTGAACTATAACTCAACTCCCAGCAACTAAAACTCAAGGCCTATTTTCCCCAAACTCTGCCAGTGTTCACATTTGGGCATAATTGAGTATTCGTTCCAAGTTTGATCCAGATCCATCATTGTTTGAGTCCACAGTACTCTGGATGTAGGTGAACTACAACTCCAAAATGCAAGGTCATTGGTGGAGTTCAAAATGCTCTTTGATTGTAGATGAACTATAAATCCCAGCAACTACAACTCTCAAATGACATATCAATCCCTCCCCCAACCCCACCAATGTGGGCGTATTGGGTCTTTCTGCCAAATTTGGTCCAGTGAATGAAAATACATCTTGCATATCAGATAGTTACATTACTATAGTTACATAGTAACTATAACAGTAGCACTATAACAGTAGCAAAATTACAGTTATGAAGTAACAATGAAAGTAATTTTATGGTTGGGAGTCACCACAACATGAGGAACTGTATTAAGGGGTCACGGCATTAGGAAGGTTGAGAACCACTGCTTTACAAGATCAAACATATCAAGCATTTTCTACTGGCTCAAGTGTCAACCGGCAGATATTAACCCAGGAAAGATATAAACAATGGTCTTCAAAAGTTGACTTGAACTTAATAGGAAAACTCAAGATGAAAAGAGTCTCCCATGAACATGAGAGGGATCCAGTTTCATATCTGATGCAGGCACAAGCATCTTTTGATTAGGATTAAATGATCTTGAACAGGCTACCTCTTACACTGAAGGGCAACAGATTTCCCAAAGCACACAGGCAAGAGAAACCAGAAATCATCTGTAAAACAATCCTAATGTAATTGCTAATTTAAGGAATGCAATTACAGTTGATAATAAAAATCATCATCATCATCAACATCAACTTTATTTTTTGGTTAGGATGCAACCCAAGATAGAAAAAGGATGTCATATCGACAACTTTTGAATAATGTACCTACACCCTATGCAACTTATTGTAGAACACGGCAGTATGAAATAAGACACTGATCACATTTAAGAATTTAAATCATTTTATTGCTTTACCTGCCATTAGGACAATCTATAACAAAAGGAATATATTAGCATACACAGTAAGTCAGACTAATAGTCCAGTAACAATACAAAAATGGTCCTCTGGTTTACTATAGCACTCAAGGGCAGTGGATTTTTTTTTAATTTGCTAAGGTGACCTAGCAAAGAAAAAAAAAGATAACTCCCAAAGCCTTGAATGTTAGCTAAGGCAAACTATACCAACTGTGGATTCAAACATGTTTAAATTGCACACAAAGGTAAAGCTTTAACTGTGATTAATATTTAACTCAGACATAGCTGGTTCATCTTAAAATCTTGTTGGTAAAACTACAAAAGGGAGTAAACAGCAAGCTAAAAAGACGCAGTAGTGAAACTTGATTAGAAAGCCTTATATAAAAAAATGTGCATTTTTGTGGCGCTCTAACTAGCTTACATAAGATTTAAAATCTTTTTGGTGCTTCAACAAGGATCAAATCAAGCTTCAAAAGTAACAAAGATATTGGGGGGGGGGGGGGAATCCCTGGATAGATTAAAACTGAACAAAGTTTTAAAGAAAGCAATGGCATTGATGGACTCCTGAAGAGTACAGGCAGATATTCTAACCTCACCAAGTTCTTGAGAATGAACAATATATATTTTACATTTAATCCATATGCAGAAATGTGGTCATACTGATAGCTCCCCACAGTTTCCTTTTTATACTAAGGCTGCTCTTTCTTTGACTCTAAATATGATCAGCAAACACTCTTCCAGTGGTGAACAGGCCAGAAAGGTATAGACTAGGTCCAATTGTTGCCAGGGAGAGGAGGAAGAAAAAGAGGCTAGGTGGGATTCAGAAGAAATAACTGCATGACTAATGCAAAATACCTGCTGTCACTCCCTATACTAATTTTAGATAATGTATAAGTTATAATGAAACAGATTTGCCTACTTCATCAAACTGAGAAACTCCGTAACAGTAATGGACAAGTTTGGGGACACACAGAACTTGGAAAATACTGAAACACATTTCAGACTTGTCAACAGGGTTAAACTTTCAAAAAATAATTATTCTGCCAGACTAATACGAAAATCTGGACAGAAACAGTGTTTGGTGTGTTTTGTCAGATTAAGGTGTTTGTTTTTGAAGGCTAAGAAGTAAGAAGAACTTCTGCTTGGATAAAAGAGGTTATTGGAAAGAAAGGATTGGCAGGAAGCAGCACACCAATTTTCTCCTTCCTGTCTTTCACATGAGCGAGAGTCATGTTACCTTCCTAAATATACAGGATTGTATATTCTATCCTCCTTTGAATGTCAGCTATGGAAATAGAATTCTCTGGCTCCAAAATTAACAGGGAAAGCAACGCTTGGAAAGGAAAGGCAGCACACTGGACACAGAGAATGTACCCTTCAGTTTCCTGTTCCACATACAGCGTGTGAGATGTTTCTATTTGGCACTAGCTAAGGAGCAGGGCAATTCTTATACCAGTATGAACACCAACAGCAATATTCATGGATTTAACCCAGTGGTTGGGCTTTTGGGTATCTGCACAGAAAGAGAACTGGGAGGGGGCAAGTATGAATATTCACAACAGAGAACAGGCAAAAAAAGGTTTGCTGCGCCAGAAATCAGCAACACAGGCAACAGCTGCCAGAACAAAAGCCTGTACACAAAAAACTCGACAAATAACCAAGCCAGCTTGAACCAACTGAAATGGATACAGGTACACCAATTATGAAACTTCAAACTGTGGCTTTGCAAGGAGCTGATCTCAATAACTCAAGCCAAAAATAACCCAGATCCAGAAATATTTATGCCAAGAAATTGAGCTAAAAAGGTAAGTTTCTCTGTCTAAGAGTAGTACAGTAGAAAGTGATCACAACTTAAAGGACACACAGGTCTCACAAGCTGAGAAACGTGTGCCTCCTAATAATTTTCCACTGTTACATCCTTGACTCTATGGCAATAACCTTGGTGCTGGGAGACTTTCCCAGCAAAAGGAATGGCAGTCACTGGCCGGTTTGGACAGTGTACATTGCACAGAGAAAAGCAGTAACAGCAAATGTCTCCGTACAATTTTCTATTTATTTTAAATGGGATTGGGAGCACCAAAATAATGCTCTAAAATTTTAAAAGGGTGCCAAGAAAAGCAACTGGTTTCTCTGATTTCCTCCCTCAGACAGACAGGAAGCAGCAATAGCCAGTGGCCGTGTGGCTTTGCACAAGAGTAATGAAGCAGTCTGCATTTGTGAAGCGTGTATCTGAGAAGGAGGGAGGCTTCAGACAGACAGAGAGACGAAGCTGTTGTACTGCTGGATGTTCCTCTTGAGGATATCTGAGCACGGGCCCAAAACACGTTCAAAGCGGGGCCGGTCGAGCTTCACACATTTCAAAGGGCCACGAGCAACAACGGTGGCCGCACGGGGACGGTTCATCAACAGAGCTATTTCACCTAGAGGAACAAGACAGAAAATTGCATTCAAAGTGCACAAAACGTTAGGAACAGTGGTCTAAAACATATCAACAAATTCAGTTTAAAAAATAGGATGCAAGATGCAATCTCAGAGACTTTAACATACTTCTAAAACTCTCTCATCCTCCACCAGTACAAATGAAGGTCTGGAATGTGATGAAATGATCTCTCGTTGTTAATGCTTCAACAGGAGGAAAGAAATAAAGGGGACACTCTGGGGGAGTGGTATGGGCAGAAAATTGGGGGAGGTTTGCTTCTGCAAGACCAATGACACATCTTTTGGGAAGTATCCCTCGAAGCCCTAGAGTGGGGATCGAGGGATAAAGGGGAGAAGCTGCTCTCTTACAATCCTGAGCCATGCAAGCCCATAGTAGTGCTTACTTTAATTCTCCACTCTGATGATGACTATTCTGGCAACTTTTGAGGATACCACAAGGTTAATTATGAAAAGGTGTGAAGTGTTGTAACTCAACCACATCCTGCACAAATTTACAGTCCTCATCAAGTAAATAGTTAGGCAGATGAGTTAGCTGCCAAGGAAAAGTCCTTTTCCCATTGCTCTCTTTGTTGGCCTCCCTCTCTTTCACTGATACTTCCCAGGGAGACACCTCTTTTTATTCAGTTTCCAGACCATATGGCAAGCCCCTGAGTCCTCCATTTTTGTCCTTCTCCTGTCAACATGGGGAGATGCAATATGTTTGCAAAGACCTACAAAGACCTAAGCTAATTTCCCAATATAGAAATGTAGTTCTTTCAATAAAGTCTTTTGGAACCTTTACAGCTCAACTCTGCTTTGGTAATTGCTGAAGTTCATTCGCACCACTTCTAGCTCAAGAACCTTTTGATCTGTTAAATAGCTGCTATTATTGCTGATTTACATTTTAAAATGATTTTTTCCTTTATGAAATTACCCAATATACAGTCTATAAAGGATCACAGAAAAAAAAACATAGGTTTTCTTTTCTTTTATGTGATTTCCCCTTTACAACTGCTAAGTTTGCAATCTGAGATAGATCTCTCTCTCTCTCTCTCTCTATACACACACACACACACATATATATCCAACTAATGCATGAAATGCTTTAACACAAAGAGTTTAAAACTCTTAGCTTAATTTTATTAGCTTTTAATACATTCTAATGGCTATGTAAAACACTCGGCCTGAAGCACAAGGTATTTTAGCAGCCTTTCACAATGGATAGGTACATATGACTGCCTCAGTGAATGCCATTTCAACATTTGACTCATAAGTCAAATTTAATGGTAGACTCTAAAACCATAATATAAAAAGCTCAAAATAGGAACACACTACTCCTATCAACTTCAGCATTCACACAGCAAACACGCCTATTATAATCTCTCACACTGAGTTGCCTTACATTTCGGTCCAAACACTGTCTCAATAGGACAACAGTCCCAAAGACTGGTCAAAGGTAATTTACTTGCATTCCTAAACTGATTCTAGTTCTATTAATAAGACTCACTGCTTGTGATGTGTAACATCACTTCAGTGTTTTAGGCAACTTCTCAACCTAAATGACAAATTTTGCTATAGTGCTACTGGCTTCTGTCTTATTTTATTTTATTAATGATTCCAATATTAGAGAATGTCATAACATTGCAAGAGAAACCTTAACTGAGTCTTGTAACTCTGTGCTTCAATATTGCACGCAGTACATGGTTGCAAAGGGACAACCATTTGGATACCTTACAAAAATTGTAAGTTAAGATAGAATAATTTTATTAAATTATTATTATAGCATACTAACCTTCAAATAATCACCATGTGTACTATTAGCTGTTAAGCTATGTATACATTTTTAGGAAACCTTGTACACATTTTAGAAGTCCAGTACTAAATGAGATTATGTCAATAGTCTATACTTTATGGGTTAAATGATGTCAATGTTTTTTGATAGTACAATGTGTTACCTGACTCCTGCACTGCTCTATGAAGGACATTATAGGAGGCCATATATGTTTCTGTAAGCATTCAAGACTGGGATGGGGAGGGGGAAAAAGGGAGATTGCCGCATTATTTTTTCAAAAGGACCTCGTCACTGACATTGGCCAAAGGTTTAAAAGATTTAAAGAACACTCTTCAGATGTTTGAAACTATTAAAAATGGTAATTATTTCAAGGGAAACTTTAACAACATTAAAGAGGATAAAGTAAACTTACCAAAGTAGTCAGATGGTGCAAGCCTGCCCACTTCAACAAATTCTTCATGCTCCGACCTGCGCTGTAACACAGCAGCTGTGCCCTTTAAGTGAACCAGAGCATTAGGGATTAAGTTTGTTTTTCTTTCACATGTAAAAGCTTCGTAACTAGGAATCAGAAGCATCCCCATTACATAGTGTTTCAGTAGCCCCCAGAAAGATTACTCAGAAAAGAAGGTAAGTAAATATATATGTTTTTATTATGTGTTTTTAATTTAGGTTCTTGTGGGTTTTTTCGGGCTATAGAGCCATGTTCTAGAGGCATTTCTCCTGACGTTTCGCCNGCACACAGACTATTTCTAGCGTGGGGATTCCCGGAAGTGGATTTATTTGCAACGAAAGCCAATTCCAAATGCTTTCTGTATTGCGCCCGACAACGAGCCCATCCAGAGAGCGGGTGTCTGGGGGATGCCTTCCTGATGAGGTGGACAGGACGGCTATTGTACGCCTTCCCGCCAATTCCCCTCCTGATGAGGGTCATAGCGAAGATTCAGGAAGACGGAGCCAGATGTATAGTAATCACTCCATGGTGGCCAAGACAGCCGTGGTTTTCTCTTCTCCACCAGATGGCCAGAGGGGCATTCGTCCGCCTACCGTGCAGGGCGGACCTTCTCACCACACAAGAGGGTCAGGTCTTGCACCCAGAGGTGGACAAGCTGAAGTTAACTGCGTGGCGAGTCCTCCCAGAACACTGACGGCCTTTTCTAGCCTGCCACAGTCTGTACTAAAGTTTATTGAGGCGGCACATAGGACGTCTACACGACGCTCCTACATCTATAAATGGACTCGTTTCTCCAAATTTTGTAAAGGGAGACAGTTGGATCCTGCGGAATCCTCCATTTCTGTTGTATTAGAGTTTCTGGTTTCTTTGTTAGAAGCGGGCCTGTCACACTCCTCCCTCAAATGTTATTTAGCCGCAATATCGTGGTATAGGAGGAAAAGAGGATACCCCTCTTGTTTCACAGATCCAATGGTTAAGACATTCATGAGGGGTGTAGCTAATGTAAAGCCGTCTGTAGCTCCTGTAACACCAGGTTGGAGTTTGGATATAGTCCTGTCGAGATTAGTAAAGCCTCCATTCGAGCCTATGGCAACTATAGACTTACCTTATCTTTCCTGGAAAACGGCGTTTCTGATGGCTATCACCTCTGCACGCCGGGCTAGTGAGTTGAATGCATTGAGGGTAGATCCCCCATACCTGAGGTTCCACAGGGATAAAGCTGTGCTTCGCACAGATGTGGCCTTTTTGCCTAAAGTATCTTCGCGATTCTACATGTCCCAGGATATAGTAATTCCGGCTTTCTATCAGAATCCCACGTCTCCTGTTGAAAGGAGCTTACACTTATTAGATGTCCGTAGGGCACTAGCGTTTTATGTCGATAGGACGTCCTCCTTTCGACAAACCCCTAGACTATTTGTAAAATACCGTAGTGATGCACGAGGTATGCAGCTGTCCTCTCAGAGGCTATCTTGGTGGATAGTGTCTCTAATCCGGCTGTGTTACTGTTTAGCCGGGAAAGATTTGCCTCAACAGGTCAAGGGCCATTCCACGAGGTCGATGTCCACGTCGGCTTTCCTGAAGGGTGTACCGTTGGATGCGATTTGCCGAGCAGCTATATGGTCGTCACCGCTGTCGTTTGTGACCCATTATAAGATGGATGTGGTCTCCAGGAAGGACACGGAGATCGGCAGAGCGGTCCTGTTTACGGCTGTGGCATGACTCCCACCATCCACGGTCAGTTGCTCGCTAATCTACCATATGTGCGATTGACAGGATTTACGACAGGAAATTATAAGTTGCTTACCTGTAACTGTAGTTTCCCTACGTGAGTGTGCTGTGAATACGCACTAATGGTACTTCTGTGCATGCGCAGCATCACTCGGACTCTTCAGTTAGAATTTAAAAAGAATCGGCGGTTGGCCCCGCGCACACTCCCCAGTACATTATAAATAGACCGCGGCCGGTCAACCGCCTCCAGATCTCTTCATCCGCGCTAATAAGCAGCAGCTCGGAATTCATCTCACTCTAGTTTTGATATTTTACTAGTAATATGGCTAATACCAAGGGATTTAAGCGTTGCTCTGCATGCCAGGGCAACTTTCCCGACAACGATGCACATTCCCTGTGCATCGCTTGTCTGGGTGAAGGACATTTAACACAGGCGTGCTCCATCTGCCAGTCCTTCACCCCTAAAACTCGGAAAAATAGGGAGACTCGCTTGAAAGCTGCCCTTTATGAACGGGCTCTTCTCCCTGATAAACAACAACACAAAGAAAAAACCTTACCTGAAACGGCGATCCTGAATGCGGCCCTGAAGAAGCCTAAGACAAAGAAGGCTGTTCAGGCCAAGGCAGCCTCGGCAAAGCCTCCGAAAACGGCTAGAAACGAGGCTACATCTTCTTTGCTGGTCTCTCCCCTTGAAAGGGCAATAGAGACTCCTTCACGTGGCTACATTGCTGGTACAGAGCCGGCCCCGACCTCCGTTATTCCCGGTATATGAAAGGGAGGAAACCTAGACCCGATAAATGCCCCGATCTCGGTGGTTTTGGATTTTTTAGTTTCACTGTCTGATTCGGGTTTATCGTTATCTTCCCTGAAATGTTACCTGGCGGCCATATCGTGGTATAGGAGGAAGGAGGGACTGCCCTCCCTCTTTTCGGAATATTTGGTTAAGCTTTTCCTAAAGGGGTTTGGTAATGTTAAGCCAGCAGTCACTCCAATTATCCCCTCGTGGAGTCTGGAGGTCGTTCTTTCATCCCTTCAAGGCCCGCCATATGAGCCCATGGCCACATGCGATATTTCGCATCTGTCTTGGAAAACCTCCTTTTTAGTAGCAATAACATCGAGTCCGAGTGATGCTGCGCATGCGCAGAAGTACCATTAGTGCGTATTCACAGCACACTCACGTAGGGAAACAATTGTTTAAACAAGAGATAAATGTATGTATGAAATGAATATAGCAAAGCAAATAATGACTATATGTCTAGCTGTTCAGGTATATGACACATGGTACATCATTATTACTAATACTCACTTCTAGTATGATGAAGAACTCGTCTCCTGGCTCTCCCTGCACCACAATCTTTTGTCCATCTTCAAATTGGACTGGCTCTAAAGCATCAGCTACTGTGAGACGCTCCCATTTGTCAAGAGATTCTACATTTTAAAAATAAGAGCATTTTGTTGTTTTAGGAAGATTTAGAATTCAAATCTTCTTTCTTACCTCAAATGGGGGCACACTCCCATCAATTCCAGCATTCACAAAGCAACCAAGCATATTGTAAACTCCCACACTGTTGAAACCACTGCCTTTAATAAGATAGAAGACAAAGTCCAGTCAAGGGTTATTTAGTCAAAGCTGTGGTTGTGATGTTAGGATCCTGGGGATGGTTGGGAATGTTGCAGCTTTTATTATATAAATTATGGTAAAGTTGTTAGTAATATAAGGGAAGAATCTTTTGGGAAGTGAGGACAATATGGAATGTCGGATATGTCTACTGGCTAAATATCTGAAAGGAAGGTGTTTGATAATTGGTGGGAGTGAGAATTTGCACTGAGAAAGTTAGGAGTCTGTCAGAGTAATGTTTAGAAATTTGGGGTGTTAGAGATCAGTCAGGGTTTTTAATACTCAGGTTATTTAACAGTGAGTCAGAGCTAATATAAGCTAGAATTTAAATGCATTAAATAACTAAATTGTGATGTTATGTTGAACTTTTGTTTACTAAATCAATATTTTTCATTATACTTTCCAATATTCCTTTTGTAGAGTTCTCAGAGAATTCTGCTCAGTTTCATTTGTCTGTGGAGGCTATATTGAATGAAGAGTGGTGCTGTCTGTTGAAGAGCCAAGTCTTGCAAAGGAACCACAACGGTACCTGGAAGGTCCCAACACTTGGTGCCAAATTGTTGGGACATTGGTGATAGAGGTGGGGATAAGTGGAAACCCTTTCAGTAGCAGAGGTGAAATAAATGGAAATATACATGATCAGGTGGCAATAGTTAGGATATATGGAAATCTCCACAATGGTTCCTGTGCTGATGTTGACCCTTACGCCATTGGCTGCTTGTCCCTAGCAAGCTTCTAGGAAAGAAACTGCCAAATATGCACACATGCGTGAAATTGTTTTTCCTACCACACTGGGGAAAATAATTACTAGTTCTCTGTACGACACACCTTCAGAATCACTAGTTTACAGTACATTGGCACATGGAATCCAGGATTCCAAACAAGACTTTGCAAAGTTTTTTAAAGGTTTTGTGTGAAAATCCCTCTAAGGGTGCAGGAAGGCCTTGAAACATGATGAGAATGTTCCCTAGAGCTCAGCTTCTTAAAGTATGGGTCGGAATCCCAAATAGGGTCACCATAACTATATATTGGGTTTGCTTTCCTTTCTCTCATGCACATATGTCTCTTTGCTTTCCCTTCTCTCTCTTTCACGCACAGGTTTCTCTCTCTCCATTTCTTCTCATTCTGTCCTTTATATACTTAGGGCCATGAGGTGAAAAAAAGCATAAGAAGAAGGGCTCCTTAAACTTTTCCACTTGCGACTCATTTTGGTCTGAGAAATTTTTACATAACTTACAGGTATATAAACAAGGTATAATATTCAAACATTTGCTGATGTCAAGTTAGCATTTGCAAGACTTGCTAAACAGCCTGGTTTTAGTTGTTATGAACTATGCCTGAAGCAACTTCTGCAGAAACCCTGCACAACGGATTCGTGCAAATGTCTCAACAGCCACTAGGTGATGTTCAGAAACTTTTTGGGATCCCAACGTTAAGTTCAAGAAGCAGTATCCTAGAATGTATTTGGGAAGGATGGGGGGAGAGATAGGCTGACAAATAGATAGTGAGTGTACACATGTATTCATTGCTGGAACAGGTGTGGTGAGAATGGCTCTCCAAGGCTAATAAAGTAACTAGCCAGCCACAGTTGCCCATCCCAATTTCAGACCTCAGTTATAATAGGATTTTTGACCTGCCCCTAGTATAGAATGGCCACTTTGCAGCACTAATAACATCTAGAAGAGAACCATCAAATTGACAATATGAACGGAGTGGTTAGAATCCTATCTAATTTTAGTTCAGAATAACTATAGCCCATCAGAGTTACATTGGATCCCCCATTGCATAATTCCAGAAAGGGTACCAAAGGCTTGAGCTCAACCACTTCGCAACAATCAATTAGGTCCCCACACATGATTTAAAAAATGAGAGGTCTACATCTGTACTTGAGAAACCATTGTCAGCTTATGAGATGTATGTAGCCTTTGAGAAAATGCCTGCCCAGCTATTTTTCTGTCAATATAGCTACTCAACAGACTCTTACCAATATTTACTCACACTGTGTCATTCACACATGACATCTAATGCTGACACAACTGTAGATTCTTAACTTACCAAGTATTGACACTTTGCTGAGGAATTCTTCATACATCTTTCTCTTTCTCAATGTACTACCCTGAAAATTAAGCACAGACAAGTCTGAAAATCACTGTTCTAACTACTTTATAATGTATTTTAAAGACTGTAGGAAGATTACATCGATTCTATCTTCACTTCTGAGTGTGGTTGTAAAAAAATTGATCTATTCCTTCTGCCTTTTGATGACCTGAAATTTTGTGGGGTTTTTTTTTTCATTTTTAAGTTGCCTCTTACTTTTACTTGTGTGCCTATGTACTTTGTTTCCAAATGGTCAGTTATTTGCTTATTCCAAAAGTTACTGTTTGAGCTTCGGTTTATATGGCCTTTCCACACGTTTCTGATTTTATATCACATGAAGATCTTTTCACAACGAAAAAGCAATTTCATGAATATTAGCTCAGATTGTGCATGCTACACACTCACATGTAGTAAATGATAAAGATCTGTGTCTCACTTTTCCATCTCTCATAAGAAACCCCTTAGTGCTATTTAGGAATACAAGCCTAAAGACCTAAGTAAATCAATAACAAACATCCTGCAGCCCACATATGCACGCTGTTTGTTTCGGCAGCACTCTCTGGCTATGGCTGGGGGTAAAAATATGGTTCCCTAATTCTGGAAGACAGTCGTTCCCTTGTATAAATTAAGCACTGTTAAAGGGAGCAACTTTAGGCTTATTTAGATTTACGCACTTGAAGATCTGACATTCTAATTTTTGTTCCAAACCTCTATGCTCAGGGATAGACAACAAGTGACCATTAGGTAGCAGGTTGTCAGACCTGTCTTACAGTCTCAAAGTGACACCGATTCCTGACAAAATCAAAACCATTTCCTATCTGACCTTACTTGCTTCAGCATGGCTGCAGAGGACTCTGTGGTGCTGGAGAACGGCCTATCACCATCATGCACCACAGAAAGCTGCAAAGCTGCCAGTAAAGATCAGTAGTGACCACAAATTCACTCATGGAAACCAACTTCCAATAGTACCTTCAAACAGTACATTCAGGAACAGATCAGCACTGGTAATAAGCCAGTTTTACTAACTTCAGGAACAACCCAGCCAAATTTAAACACTTCAAACAATATTTCAGTTGCTTGGAATTAGTGGGATTTAAATATTTTGACTTGCTGCTTTATACCCATCATATCTCTTACATCTTCCTTCAACACTTAAGGTGAATTGCTGTATCACACAAATACAGCAACACATTATGAAAAGGTAATTCCAAGCAAAAGGCACAACAACCCCCTCAGAATACTTGTTTTTTAAAGCATTACAAAAACTCACCATAAGAATTCTTCTGTAGCTATCTCTATCAATGCCCCACAGCTTCACATTAGTTTTTGCTTTGACAGTTGCTGCTCGAGGCGTTCCATAGATCAGTGCAAGCTCCCCAAAGCTGCCTCCTTCGCCAACACTAGTGGCCCATTCATTGTTGACATAAACCTAAGGAAGCAACACATGTAATTGAAGGACCGACATTTCTACAAATGTAGTATAATGCGCCTGACTTCTGCATTCCCATTCCAGAAAATTCAGGATAGAATATTCCCAAACTGGTTGATACAACAATCTGGATAATATCTTAATTGTCTCCCGAAAAATGCTTTACATTAATATTAGTACTGTGGAATGCTACTGAGTCGACAGTAATTTTGAGAGAAGTTGGAAGAAAAGTACTGATTCTGAGTTTAAAATAAATAAAATAGTATAAAATACAATGTAACTTTATAATTGTTGTAGCATTTAGCTAGAATAAATTCATTATGGTATAATTAATACAATTAATATACATTTGGTATTATACAGATTTTCTTTGTTTTGTTTTGAGAAACTTTGAGGCACCATAGGGATATTGCATATTTTATTTTCTGGTCTGCCCCCCCCCCCCCCAAAAAAAACATACATTTTCAGGAAAACTGAAAATGCAATATTATTACTTTTTATAAAGTGGAAGTCATTTAAATACTTCAGGAACATAAAAAGTGCTATGACTAACATGGATTGGCATTAATATTATTGTTTGGTATATTATAAACATGCAGTATTCACAGTATACACACATATAATTTCCTGTTTTACGTTCATATATTATGAAAGCATTCACCACAGGCAATAGATTAATATTAGAAATACCTACATCCATTTCTCCTTGATCGATAACATAGAAGTTGTCTCCTTCATCACCTAGGGAAAAAATGTAAGAGGATAGGTTGAGTATTAACTATTGCTCTGGTGGGCGACTTCAGTCTTGCAGATGTTATTGGTACTATAAATCCCATAACCCCCCCCCCCCCCATTATTGGATTTGCTAGATAGGGCTATTGGAGGTTGTACATTGTAACAATCTGGAAAGGTACAGTCACCCAACTTTTGTAGTAACACAAGCAAACATTAGAAAAGTTCATCTAAGCAGCACATTAGGTCCAGCACATAATACTATTTCAATTTTTTGCAGATCTTACTATTTCCTTGTGCATTGCATTAACCTGGAGAATATTTAACTACCAAACAAAGGGTTTAAAAACTGATATCACTTGCCTTGCTGTATCACAGTCTCACCAGCAATATAGGTCACTGGGAACATAGCATCAAATATATCACTGTAAAAAAATGATTTTGCAATTACTAAGCAGTCCAGATGTGCTGCACCTCCGTTTTCAGTCAGGATGAATCACAAAAGCTTAACTAGAACAGCTCGGTATGTTCTAGAATGAAGCTAGAATAAAATATGCAATGATTTGGTTGAACAAATCAAACTTCATTATATATTGATTGCCCACGTCTTATTTTCACATGAGTTAAAAATACTGATATCAATGGTGCAAGCTATTTCTACCCTAGTGGTCTCATCTCTATCATATTTCACTCTACCATGATTTGGCTTGGCATTAAAATGATTGTGTTTGGTATATTTAAAATACTCATTATACACAGCATAAACAAATGTGATTTCCTCTTTTATGTTTATCTGTAGTATTATATGTATTATAAGATTTTATAATTTTGTAGATATATTTTGACTTTGTTCTACCCAACCTTGTGCAATTAGGATATACGGTAAACAAATAAAATGTATTCTTATTCCTATTAAAATAATCATTATTACCACTATTGTAGTGGCAATACAAATAACTAAAAGTCTTCTCTGTGTTATTTTGCAATTAGTTGCAAAAATCAACTCTGTGCAACTAAACCGGACAGAGCAGGAAACCAGTGTGAAAACAGTAGACTGTTAGTAACATTTATAAAATACATACGGTATACATAAATTATTTGTTGGTCAATTCTGTGGAAATACAAAATCACAAGTTTCAGGTGTAAATTAACAAACTTCCTACCTTCTTTCGTTGTCATCAAGGTGAGCGAAGAGCACATTCTTCTCTATGGCTTTTGCTAAAGCAGCCATCGTTTTATAATCTTTTGGAATAACCTGTACGACAGAAAATACCCAAGCAGTTTCCATTAAATACTCTAAGGCAGAAACAAACCCATTTCCAACATGTCAACATTCTGCTAGCACTTCTTCCCCACCACAATTATTTTGTTTACTCTTTTAATGCACAAAAGCATGCTTTTACAGTGATTTGCAAAATTATATAAAATGATAATTCTTTACAAAGATTTACAAAACAAAACTGAAAAACTCTTTTATAGTCTTTTCCAGCTGCACTTAGCATATATTCCCTTCATGAAGCAACTTCTAGAAGGAATTTCCATCTTCCACAAAACAATCATTCATTCATTCAAGAAATAAAGTAACGCTTATAAATTTGAGAAACTTGTGATTGTGCACATTTGCCTGGATTTCGGAAATAAATCCCCAAAATAGGAATTACTCTCTATGACAGGGTGCCAAATTTGCTATTTATGAAAATTATGGTTGAATTTAATAAGGCAAACATTACAGAACCAGGTAAGCGGTTATACTTCCTCCAAGACATGTTTTACTTATTAAATCATCCCATCTCTCCATCAACAAATTATAAATAATATTCAGGTATATATCAGAGAATCAAGTAACTACACCAAGACAGGTATTCATTAGTCTATATGTCTGGATAAGGGGGTGGCTGTTCCTTAGTAAGTTGAGCTAGATACAGAAAGAAGAGGGATAATGAGCAATAAGATGAACAACTGGATGCCACACCTTTCTAACATAAGAGGCTGCATCCTCTTCTGTGTAAACCTCTGCACTGATGGCGCCACGCCTTCTGCGGCCCTTTACCACTGGGTTCATGGGTGGAGGTGGAGAAATCTCATCTTCACGCGAGTCTGTACGAGACTTCTGCTGAGTTAAAAACTGTTTTGTTTCTTCCTGTAATTGAAGAAAGTAATTACATATTACCATCCAAAGCACTTGCCTAGTAGCAACCTGACTGTTATATTCATTTCAAGGGCTGTAATTAAGTTGCACCATGGATTGAAATTTCAGCCTATAACGTACCAGTATATCCCCTTGAATGCCACCTGATTTTAGAAATTACGCAAAGTTCTAGGACATCAGAAGCCAATATCAGGGTCATCTGAAGTCAGAACTGACAGCACTGGGCTAGATGTCTCAATTATCTGACACAATATATGAAAGATTTCTAACTCCCCTAAAAGAACCTGCCCTGTCATAAAGAATGTGAACATTAGCATATCATTTTAATGAAAAAAGGATTTTTATATTTCTATATTCAATATTTTTCTCAGAGATGTATATTGCTCACCTTTTACAAGGAGTTGTATGTTCGCAGTTGTGTTCAGACAAAATCATGTTAGGCCAAGCTGTAGGAGTATCCCATGCCAGTGCAGACTAAGGACTCTGAACACATCACTTGGCTGCAGGTGAGCTACTGAATGTGCATTTGATATGAAATGGTAGCTAGGTGTGCCAGATTTATCCGCTTCTCAAACACATATTTATCTCATCTACACTTGAAATTTTGAGAGAGCAACCCTAAAAGACATCCTATTGCTAGTCCCACCTAGAAGAAACCTAACTAATCAATGGGATTTAAGTAAGCATTGACTTGCTATTTAATAAATGTTTCAAAGATTTCACTCTAGTTAGGATTAACTAATAGGATTTGGGACAAAATATACAGAATATGCCAAAGCAGGTCATTCAAGTTTAAGTTCCAACAGCTACCCAATATGCAACTTGGGTTATCTTTTATCTACACTGAATGAAATGTATTCTAAGAGAATAAAAACTATTTTTAGTGAGGGACACAGCAAGATTTAATCTCTAGACTACTTATGTGAAAACTTGTTATGCTACAGAGTACTTGAAGAGATGGCTGCTTTTGCATAATCTCCAAACACCAGATAAATCACATGTTCTTTTAATACTCAATTATGGCAAGTCTTCAATTTGTACCCCTACCACTGGAATGAGTCAAGATCTACTGAGACATATAGAAACTTCCTTCAGTTAATATTTTGGAGTAAAATCACTGGCCATGGAGGACAGAAGACAAATAAGCGTGTGTATGTATGAGGTCAACTTATGGTGACCCCATACATTACAAAGGGATTCCTTAGCAAAAAATATTCAGAGGGAGTTTTGCCAATTCTTTCTTCTGAAATATAGCCTACAGCACTTGTTACTCATTAGCAATCTCTCATAGTAACCAGAGCTGACCCTGCTTAGTTCCCAAGACTGGACATGACCTGGTGTCCATTGGGTATTTAAGCCATCACTCCAATATTCAATAACAATATTAATACAATCAAAGTGAAACTTGTTAACAAGATAGCTGATGTTGCTGAAATAGATTTCAAGTAATGGAACTTAAAGTTGCTTGACAAGCCCCTAACAATGACAGCAGAGCCACATTAGATCTTTAGGTCAATACTGAACCTGAAAACAAAGGGGAAAGGCCTAGACTTCATATTAGAGCTCTGAGAATTTTGCAGCAGCAGATTTATGTGATATGGTGATGGATTTATTGCTGACCATATTTCCAGTTACATCGTACAGTAAATCAGATATCATGGCTGCCTTCAGGGCTTCTCCAGCCAAACCAGATGAGAAGCAGAAAACTAGGAGATATTATAGTTAAGTTTGCTAAGAAAGGAACACAAGATACTAGCCTGGTTACTGTGAAGAATACAAACTCAAAAACATATTGAGGTGATTTTGTGGCCTTCTTTCAAGATATCAGTCTTCCAATGGACAAAACTTTCCAAAATTACACAAAGATTTTGAGAGAAAAAGGATACTCATACAACTCCCAGAAATCCCAGCCAATTTACCACTTGTTAGGATTTCTGGGAGTTGAAGGCCAAAACATCTGGGGACCCAGAGGTTGAGAAACATTGATCTAGACCTAACTTGGCATGAATACACTATATGCCCAAATATGAACACAGGTGGAGTTCTGGGCCAGAGTGAAGAGAGGGGAGGCCAAGGGACAGTTCCATCTTGTAAATATAATAAAATACATAAATATCCTACAAAGTTAAATGTCCAGTATGAACACAAATGCACTGCTTTAAATAACAATGTTAAAGTGCAGGCCTTTCTCACTCAAAAATTGTATTGCCTCAACTGCTGAAAGATAATACAGTAGAAGAATCTCTTAGAAATCTTACTGTGCCTGACTCACAATCCCAGCAATGCCCATATGTGCAAGATGCCTATCGATTTCTGGCAACACCATGAATTTTACATGGTTGCTTTGGGCAGGGAATACTTCCCTTTCTGCCAGTGGCACTGGCCTTCCAAAAGGATTAAAAGTGACAGGGTAGTAAAGACAGTATTTACCTGTTTATAAGTCGACCCAATTTTTGGGTGATTTTTAAAATCAATTTATACATGAGGATATGCAGTATGTTTCCACCTCACTTTACTTGGGCTTTTATTACACATTGATATATTTACAAATTAGGGGAAAAATTAATATAAGCAAGTTGTTGCTACAATAGCTTGATGATTAGCCTACTTCCATTAAAGTAATATTTAAATATTTGTTAATTAACTATTTACTAATCCTTGTATCTTGTTTTACTCTGCATTCCAATTTATCCACAAGTATATCAAAAAATCTACTCATCAGGAAAAAGGGCTGCCACACAAACTCTTTAGCTCAAGAAGACGGCTCCCATGTCGTGAAAAATGTGTGAAAGAGGCAGAGTGCTGGGTTAACTTGTCACTGTTCTAATGCATTGTACAGTAGGGAGAACGCCTTCTCCCCTCCCCTCATGGTTCTCTTAAATGTAACCCCATCGAATTCACAAACCTTTATTTCACTCACTACTAATGGGATGAAAAAAGTGAGTGGTTGGGTTTTTTTGGGGGGGGGTTGTTTTTTTGCTTTTTTGTACATATTTTCAAATTTTATTAGAAATACAAAGTGATAATGTAAACAGTAGAATGGTGCAATTTTTAAAAGCTAAAGTCCAACAAGGAGGCTCATAAAGTAGTTGCTAGATATAAATTCTTCACAATATATGATGGAAGATGAGATAAGCATGTTTTTTTTATTTCTGTGTACAAACACAACTGTAATGTAACTCAGAGCAAACTGTGGCATCTTTTTTCTACTTATTAATATTGCATCTACATATTCATAGTTATTCACTTGATATTTACAAAGAATTAACCAAAAATTCAAAATTAATAATTAAACTACTTAGAAATTATTTAATTAACCTTACATATTATTATTTTGTATGCAATTTTAAATTGTTGAGAGTTATATTGAACACTGCAGCTACCACTGAAGTGTGGAATATCCTCTTTGACAAAGTAACAAAACAAAAAAACTAGCATTGAAGTAAAACAAAAGATACTGCTAGTTATTCTGAGCAAAGACAATTTTATGTATTTCCACTAAACACAAACATAAAGTTTCAACTCTAGACTAAAATGTACAACACTATCAGCAGGTCTTTGTTCCTCAACTTCATTGCAGGCCACTGTGCTTTCAACCCTCTTGAGCAATGTTTCTCAAACTGTGCTCCTCCAGATGTTTTGAATTTCAGTTCCCACAATTCTTAACAGTTGGTAAGCTGGCTGGGATTTCTGGGAGCTAAAGTCCAAAACACCTGGAGGAGCACAGTTTTAAAAGCACTGCTTTTGAGGGTTAAGAAATGCTCTACAATGGTGTTGAAGTGGAGTACAGAGAATTATAATCTAAAAGTAGAAATTGTCGGGACTCAGAGATGGCACTTGCTTGAATGTAAGATCCCCTTGACTAGCACAAGGCATCTCTGGGTTTATGCCAGAAATCTAAAACTTATAAAAATCCAAATTCTCTAGAAAAAATATACAGCTCAACTTTTTAATCTAGTAAAATGCAAAGCTGGATATTTCACAAGACTCCTATTACCAAAACTGTCATGTGTTCATATATACACCCTTAAGGCTGACCCAAAAGGACAAGCACCCAAACTATAAGATACTTGCCTCTTACCCCAAACAATTTACATATTCCTCCAACGTGGACTACATGTTTTAATTAGACAATTAGAAGTGACTGCAGGAATCATTAAAATTGCTCTTATCATTTGCCTTTAAGTCATCAGCTGCCACAGTATGAATACTGCTGACCTTCTCTCCTTGTGCAGAGTGTTGACACAGTGATGGGAGAAGTTGTTAGTTACACAGCGAGGAACAAGAGGGAAAAAATGGTGGTCCTGCTACAGAGCCACAACATTTACTGTACAGCATGAGTCTTTTTAATTGTACTGGAATATGCCTACAGATTACACACACAACACTGAATGTAAGCAAAGCTACCATATTCCAACAGTAAAGAATTCATTAAAAATGGCTATTTATTGGTAATTTAAGGTATTTTTGTTGCAGCATAACAAAACCATGTGTGCCAATTTTTCTTAATCAGTATGTTTCTGAAACTTTTGTTACGGCTGTTTCTGAAATGCCAGTGAGAGTTCTCACTATACCTTTTAACATATCCCTTAAATGGATATGGCTGGAGGCAAACACGCTAGTTATCTTCTTTCCCCAGTCTCCTCACACTCAAGCTTCCCAGGTCCCAAACATTTTGCCCTTTTGTGATGACAAGTGATGCTATTAATCAGTGTTTTCCAAAGTGGGCAATATTGCCCCGGGGTAGGGGAGGGATGGAACAATTGAGGATGTCCGTAGTTGCCAGGAATGAAATTGGGGAGAGAGATGAATTAAAATAAGGGAAAGTAGAGGCATAAGAAAAAAGAAAAATTAGAAAAAACATTTACCCATTTGACAGGAGTTGTCGTGTAATAATCCCTGGAGACCCGGTTTTCTTAAAACACAAATGTAGGTTTTTTTCTCTCTCTCTCTAAGTAGCATGCAAAGTAATCTAAGATAGTTTCTTATAATGTGAATGCTAAAGAGAGATCATTGACATGATAAAAATATTCAAGGTAGATTATGACAGCTTATCCCATTTGTTATACTGCCAATTTCCATGTATGAAAACAATATTGCATGGCTGTGTTCTAGCAATCACACTGCCATAAAATTAAGCCATGCTTCGTACTTTTTGAAAAGCTAAAAATGTCAACATCTTCTAGGCCAAAAACAATATGCATTTTAAGTTATTTTAATAGAGGCTGCAAATGGTTATGTTACTGTCTAACATTTTTCCAAGGTTATTTTTACCTTCTCCAGTTTTTCAAAATGTTCCCGGAGGAAAACCATGGGTCTCTCAGGGCGCACTGTACATAGCTGGACGATGCAATCCTTCAGGAGTTGCTGGATGTTGTGTTTTTGGACATACTGTTCACATTCACGGAGGCTACGGTCCTCCTCACTGTTGCCAGAAGTGGCCATCGTTGGTTTCTGAAAGAAAAACATGTTTGAAACACCTGGAGAGGTTATGCTGCTCTGTTAACACTATTATATTTTTCAGCAATTAGATATTAACTAAGCTGCAGGTAATTAGTAGCGACGGAAATACTATGCACTTCCAAAGTGAGCTAGTAATTCAATTCTTTTCTCTGAAGTATCGCCCAACAGTACTTGAAAGAAAACTGTGGCAGCAGAAATAAAAGAAAGTTGCATTTGGAACCTCACAAACTATTTCCTAGCAGTACATATCAGATAACTTAGTTAACGGGTTTTCTAAAATGCAACTAATGCCAATCTCCATAAAGAATTTTCTCTAAAACAAAACTGCAACCATCAGTAAATGCATTCAGTAATTTGTTTGGAAAACTATTAATAAATATAAGGTTTTATGGCAGTCATAGTGTATTTTCCAATTGCTCAGCACTTACGTGAGATGCAGCTAACAGCAACAACTACAGGTATGCACAGAATTTACAGGAGAGGGTGTTGATCCCAGTATCACCTTTCAAGAAGGAAGTAAGAAAGTGAATAACTGAAACTCCCAAGTGTTACTGTCCTATTAATACATACTTTCTTAGGAGACATATTTAGATACACTGCACATATGGCAATATACTTGTGATAACAAACTTGTGCCTGATTTCTGTTGCTAAGGTTTTTATGAGAATTAAAGCTGATGAATGATTTTGAACATTTGCAAATAAATTGCACTCTGGATATCTGTAATCCCTGCAAAGAGTCTAAAGGTTACATTCCCCCCCCCCCCCCCCAACAAATTGCATTCTTGTCATCTGTAATTCTTACAAAGAGTCTAAAGGTTATAGTATACCTGTTTCCATTCAAACGGCATGCACATGTGACATTTATATCACACTGCTTTAGAGATCTGCAGTTACCCTTTTGTTTTGACAACTTGCATAACGAAGGTCAGTAATAAATGCTCTAATTAACAGCCCAAGAGTAATTCCATGGCTCCATGACAGCCTGTAAATTAGTTTGTGGAAAAAAGCATTCAGACTGCTGACAGACAGCATCAGATACTAGTGCTTAAATATGACTCTAAAAGTACTGTTCAAAAACATTTCTCAAATCTGTAAAAAAAAAAAAAAACCCCAATGTTCAGTAAATAGAAGTCTTTAATGTGAAGTTCCAGATTATTTGTCTTAATGACGGCACACTGGAAACTGGAATATAAGTAAAAACTTTAGGTTTCTAACAATATTCCCAAAGTGAAGAACAAACAAATTCTGAAGCCTAAATTAATTCTTCATTGATTGAAACGTAAGTACTTGTTTATCATTAAGCCACAGATTCAATGGATCTAACTCCAGTTGAAACTAGCAAGTGGAGTTAGGCCCAAGTCTTTGCAGATCTTTCAAGATTACTATATGATCTGAAAGGCTTACCTTTTCATCAGAGAACACCAGGATGCCAAGAATCCCCCATACAATAATTTGTAACCTCATTTAAGAACTGAACAGGGATAATGCCAATGCAATCTAGGAAAAGTCTATGTAATTCGTTGATGGATTAGTAACACTTTTTTGAAAGATGAGGTATAATGTAGCATACCTAAAGAAAACCTTATCAGAAAAAGACATCTGAAAGTTATAACAGCTCTGAATTACTCACTCTAATCAACCTATGTCACTATAGTATAACAGAGGAACCCTGAAAATCTTATTCCATATTGGAAAGTAACGTAATTCATTTGCAGCCCATTTCTCCAGGTCAGGGAAATTCAGCAATTATGGGCTACTTCTAAGACAGCATTAACTAACAGTAAGAAGTCTTTCTCTAGATAAGAGAGAATACAAGTCTCCTCCAGTGTTTTTGCTTATCTAGAACTTGGAATCTATTGGTGCCCCACATAGTACATGTGTGTTTTTTTTAAGCAAAACAAAAAGAACAGCTCAAGTTTTATTTAAACAATTCTGAACAATATCAACTACACTTCAACCCTCTCCTACTGATTACAGCACCTTGACTACTTTAATTGCCACAGCTCAATGTTAAAAAAAATGCAATACAACTGTTTGGTTTGCTCCTGACATGATAAATAAAATAAATGTTATAAAATCGTCTGATCTGGAGCTTTTTGCGGTACCAGAGCTCTCTATCACAAAGGGTTAAATATCTCACAAAATTAAAAAAAATCCCAATTTCTATAGCTTTGAGCCATGGCAGCTAAAGCGGTATCAAATGGTTGCAATTATGCAGTGTGGCTTCCTCCCCCCCATCTTTTTGCTCCCATGAATTTCCAGCAGATCTTCCCAATTTCTATTCTGCCTCCTGAAATCTAGGGCCCCTTGTACATTGCCATATAAAATCCAGATTATCTGCTTTGAAATGGATTATATGGCAGTGTAGACTCACATAATCCAATTTAAAGCAGATAATGTGAATTTATTTATTGTGCCAGAAACAAATTGAGAATACAGTTCTAATGTATTAAAAACCACAAAGTTTAAAAACTTGGCATTATGCTAAACGTCCTTTAACCAGAAGTTGCCCATTTGCAGTGTCTCTGCTGTTGCTGTAAGATGGTCCTCCATTGCGATTGTGGCAGGGCTCAGGCTGCATTGTAGTACGTGGTCTGTGGTTTGCTCTTCTTCACACTTGCATGTTGTGAACTTCACTTTGGAGCCCCATTTCTTAAGGTTGGCTCTGCATCTTGTGGTTCCAGAGCAGTCTGTTAAGCACCTTCCAAGTCACCCAGTCTTCTGTATGCCGAGGAGGGAGTTTCTCATCCGGTATCATCCACTGATTGAGGATCTGGGTTTTTACCTGCTACTTTTGGACTCTCGCTTGCTGAGGTGTTCTTGCGAGTATCCCACATGAAGCCTCTCTGCAGGATAGTAACACATCCAGGCATTCCCTGGGCAACGTCTTTGTAGATGGCTGATTCTTTCACATGAGAAGCGACTTGCAGTATGCAACCAACCAACCAAACAGACCTTTCAGGACCAACTAAGACAATAATCTCAATCAACATGGATGGTGACAATATAATTAATTTTAATATTATTGGAAATGAACCTTAGGTGGTTTCTGTAAACTGAGGTTCATGTTTTTATGCTGTTATAATTTAAGTTAAAATTAATTTAATTTTAGGTTGTATGTTATAATTTGGTCATATACGTGGGGTTATTTTGGTATATATGGGTTTACTATGATATATGGTGTTCCTGTAAATTGTTCTCTATGTCAAAGTTTTTATGTTAAGTTACTTGATAGGCTATGTTACCATCTAATTTGAGGTTGTAAGTTTTAATTTGACTGTATATGTTGGTTCATTTTTGGGACTTGGTTGGGTTGTTATTGTATTTGTATTGGTATTTGAATGTATGGTCTTGTCAAGGCATTTAATGTTTGCCTTTTTGTTTGTTGGAATGCGCCCTGAGTCCCCTCTGGGAGACAGAGCAGAATATAAATAGTTTGTATTTATTTATTTAATAATTGATATTTAACTGCTGTTTTTAACTGTAATTATTTATAATTTATGTGTTGCCATCTAATATTTGCCTGTTGTAAAGCCACCCTGAGTCCCCCTCCAGGGTTGAGAAAGACGGGGTACAAATGTGTGTAATAAATAATAAATAAATATGTACCGTATATTCCGGCATATAAGACAACTGGGCGTATAAGACGACCCCCAACTTTTCCAGTTAAAATATAGAGTTAAGACGACTCCCATGCATAAGACTACACCTGCGTATAAGACGACCCCTGACTTTTGCAAAGATTTTCTTGGGTTAAAAAGTAGTCTTATACGCCAGAATATACTGTATGTATTATATGTTGGTCTATTTTGGGTTCTGGTAGGTCTTTTATTGTATTAGTATTTATTGTTTCAGGCATTTAATGTTTGTCTTTTTGTTGTTGGAATCCGCCCTGAGTCTCCTTGGGAAGATAGGGCGGAATATAAATAAAGTATTATTATTATTATTAACAACATCGGAGTCATGTCAGCTGCCAAAGAACAGTTGCTTTATGAACTGTGCTGAGATAATGTGGATACAATGAGAAGGAGGAATGAAGTTCATAGCACTGATTAATGGTGTTAAACAAGTGATTTTGAAATGGAGATAATTGGTTTGTGTTTATATATATTTATAGTTTATTTTATTTTCCGTCATTGAATGTTTGCCGTATATATGTTTTGCTCCGCCCTGATTCTCCTTTGGGCTAAAAAAGGTGGAATATAAATAAATAAACAATGGAACAAAAAGGGAACAGATTTGACATTCTACCTCAGCTGGTTTTTAATTGTTTAAATGTTGATTATTTAATTATAATTTTCTGATGCCACTTGTTTATTTTAATCCACTGTGTAATGTATTGTATGTATTGTCGAAGGCTTTCATGGCTGCAATCACTGGGTTGTTGTGGGTTTTTTCGGGCTATATAGCCATGTTCTAGAGCAGGGGTCTTCAAGCTAAGGCCCGGGGGCCGGATGCGGCCCTCCAAGGTCATTTACACGACCCTCGCTCAGAGTCAACTTAAGTCTGTAATGCCTCAAAAGCACACAACAACAATAATCCTATCTCATCAGCCAAAAGCAGGCCCAAACTTCCCACTGAAATACTAATAAATTTATATTTGTTAAAATTGTTCTTTATTTTAATTATTGTATTTTTAAGTGTTTTTTTGCACTACAAATAAAATATGTGCAGTGTGCATAGGAATTCTACTTTTGTTTATATAGGCATTGAATGTTTGCTTGTTATCGTGTTGGAAGCCACCCTGAGTCCTCTTGGAGAGAGGGGGCGGGTTACAAATAAAATATTATTATTAGTATTATTATCTGCTTTGATTTTATTCCACTGTACTTGATCTGTCATTTCCAACTGAGACTAAACAAAATGATCATAAATGTATACAAATTAAAATGTCTGTAATATTGTAGCAGGTATATAATTGAGTGTTAAAGAATGAACAACGTATTTTCCTTAAATACTTCAGAACCTGGCATATTGGTTTTTGTTGTGTATTGTTTGAGTGAGTTTTAATGCTGCTGTTTTATACCCTTAGGTTTTATTTAATTGTGTTTTATTTGATTGTTATGCTCTGCTATGTTTTATTTTAATCGTGCTTTTTGTTTTTAATGGCTTGTTTTGTTTTGATGTTCTGTCCCATGTGTAAGCCGCCCCGAGTCCCTTTGGGGAGATGGAGGTGGGGTATAAAAATAAAGTTATAAAAATAAAGAAAATCCAACAAATGCTACGTTCAGCAAAGGATAAGAGGGATCCTCTCACTTCTGCAGGAGTCTACTGTATACCATGCAGCTGTGGACTACATAGGGACCACCAAACGAAGCATTGCCCAAAAAACACAAATCAAGGAACATGAAAGGCACTGCAGACTACTTCAACCAGAGAAGTCGGCCATAGCAGAGCACCTGATGAACCAACCTGGACACAGCATATTTGGGAACGCAGAAATGTTGGACCACTCTCACAACCACCATGTCAGACTACACAGAGAAGCCATTGAAATCCACAAGCATGTGGACAATTAACAACAGAAAGGAGGAAACCATGCAAATGAACAAAATCTGGCTACCAGTATTAAAAAAAACTCTAATATTACAACAGCAAAACAACAGAGGGGAAACAATCAAGGACATCTAATCACCTCTCAACAAAAGATTGCCCCAAGCCCTAACAAGCCACACCAAACAACTGCCAGGTCATCAAATGCTAATCAAGGTGGTCAGTTGAAACATTCACACCTAGCTCCAGCAGACAAGAGTTCTTTGTCCCACCCTGGTCATTCCACAGATATATAAACCCAATTTTCCTAGTTCCAACAGACCTCACTACCTCTGAGGATGCAGGCGAAACGTCAGGAGAGAATGCCTCTATAACATGGCCATATAGCCCGAAAAAACTTACAGCAACCTAAAAATGAAGTTATTATTATTATTTGATAATGTGGATTATATGGCAGCATAGAAGGGTTTTTTTTTTCCAGATCAAAGGTATCCCCCTCCTTCTAGGACCTATCTTCTCAAACGGACCTGCAGATACCATTTGTTTATATGTTACTGTTGATTGTTTATTGTCTATTTTTGTTCATGTGATATATATGATCTGTATTGTATTGATTGCTTTATTGATGTTTTGTTTATAGATGTATTCTGGGCTTGGCCTCATGGAAGCCGCACCGAGTTCCTTGGGGAGATGGTAGCAGGGTACAAATAAAGTTTATTATTATTATTATTATTATTATTACTAGCGGTCCCCTGCCACGCGTTGCTGTGGCCCAGTCTGGTGATATGGAAAATAAAGTAATTAGAAAGTGCTGATTTCTAATATATGTAATGTCTTTATGCTTGTGGGTAAACAGTATTTCTTGATGTTTCTTTGACAGTGTTGACGTAGAGATTGTCTGGTTTGCTTACTCTGGAACGTGCAACATATAATTGTCCATCTTTAGGAGTCCCTTTCAAATCTCTAATACTTTATCTGTGTGTGTGTGAATCATATCAATCTATCTATATCTATGGCTGGATGGCTCTCTGTCAGGAGGGCTTTGATTACGTTTTCTTGCCCTGGTGAAGGGAGTTGGACTGGATGGCCTTAAGTATTTTCTGTTGGTCATGGGGGTTCTGTGTGGGAAGTTTGCCCCAGTTCTGTCATTCGTGGGGTTCATTCAGAATAGTCTTTGATTGTAGGTGAACTATAAATCCCAGTAACTACAACTCCCAAATGCCAAGGTCTATTTCCCCCAAATTCCATCTGTGTTCATATTTGGTCATATGGAATATTCATGCCAAGTTTGGTCCAGATCCATCATTGTTTGAGTCCACAGTGCTCTCTGGATGTAGGTGAACTACAACTCCCAAACTCAAGGTCAATGCCCACCAAACGCTGCTAGTATTTTCTGTTGGTCATGGGAGGCCTGTGTGCCAAGTTTGGTTCAATTCCATCGTTGGTGGAGTTCAGAATGCTCTTTGATTGTAGGTGAACTATAAATCCCAGCAACTACAACTCCCAAATGACAAAATCATAATTTTTGGAGTGATGGTCACTCCTTGTGTTGTGAGACGTTTTGTTGCCAAATTTGGTGTGATTTCGTTCATTGGTTCTTTTGTTCTTAGAGACGTTTTGTTGGCAAATTTGGTGTGATTTCGTTCATTGGTTCTTTTGTTTTTAAGGTACTCATTATGCACAGAGCATTTTTATATATATAGATTGATTGATTGTTTTATTGATGTTTTATTTATTGATGTTTTATTGATGTATTCTGGGCTTGGCCTCGTAAGCTGCACCGAGTCCCTTGGGGAGATGGTAGCGGGGTACAACTTATTACTATTATTATTATTATTTGCTTACAGTTTAGAAACACTGCTACAGCTTTAAGGTTTCTCCTCCCATGGCAGAAGCAAAGGCCTTCCCACCAAAGAGGCACATCTTCCCACTCGAGGTGTGCAAGCAGTCTGACACCACTTTAAATGCGAGAGTTCCAATGCGATGCGTCCTTGGGATTTGTAGTTTGCACTCTTTGGCAGGGGAGGCCGTTAACGGGCCTTGTCCAGAGCTTGTCCAGAGACAACTGGCTGGGCTGCACATCAGCAGGGCGCCGTGAAAGGAGGTGAAAGTGGTGCCGGAGTGCCTTCGCGTCGATGCGCCTTGCAGCGCTCCCTCCTTCCTGCCCCTCCTCCGCCTACATGGCGTCACCCCCCCTCGCTCTCGCGCTCTCCCTGCAAACTGCCACATTCCTCCCCCTTGACAACAAGGCCTCCCGCGCGCGGCCTCTCTCCTCAGCCCAGCCTCGCCTCAGGAGCGAGAGGGAAGGCCTTGGCCTACCTACCTACCTCCGTCCCTCCCTCCACCACCCCCTCCCCCTCAGAGAGCCCCGCGCGCGGGACGACTTACTACGCGAGCTCCGCGCCTGGGCCTTGCCTCGGCCCCGCTCTTGCCCCGATTCGTAGGCCTCCTCCTCCTCCTCTGTCGCCGCCGCCTCCTTCTTTCTCTGCCTCAGCAATCGCTCCCACCGGAAACGCAGCGCCCTCCGCCAATCGGCACCCGGCCTGACGTCAATGGGCCTCGCGCTCACTCGGCGAACCGTCGCCATGGCAACCTTAAAGGAGAAGGCGCTGCTGCTCCCCGCCAGGGAATCCAGAAGGGGGAAAATGGAGCTCGCCGCCGTACTCCTTCCCTTTAAAACGTCCACTGACGTCAGAGCGCTTGTTGCAAGGGAGCCCTCGGCAGCGATGGCCCCGCCCGCTCGGAAAAGAAGGGAGGAGAAGGAGAGGAAGCCTCAGAGGAGGCTTTGCTAGTGCCTTCCTCTGAGGCACAGCTAAATAAAATCCCACATTATCTGCTTTGAAGTGGGATATATGGCAGTATGGGCTGAGGGCCTTTCCACACAGCCTTAAATCCCAGATTTTCTGAGTGTGGATACAGCAAAAGCTAAATAAAATCCCACATTATCTGCTTTGAAGTGGGATATATGGCAGCATGGATTGAGGGCCTTTCCTCACAGCCCTAAATCCCAGATTATCTGAGTGTGGACTCAGATAACCCAGTTCAAAACTGAATAAAATCCCACATTATCTGCTTTGAAGTGGGATATATGGCAGTATGGGCTGAGGGCCTTTCCACACAGCCTTAAATCCCAGATTATCTGCTTTGAAGTGGGATATATGGCAGTATGGGCTGAGGGCCTTTCCACACAGCCCTAAATCCCAGATTGTCTGAGTGTGGACTCAGATAACCCAGTTCAAAGCCAAATAAAATCCCACATTATCTGCTTTGAAGTGAGATATATGGCAGCATGGACTGAGGGCCTTTCCGCACAGCCTTAAATCCCAGATTGTCTGAGTGTGGACTCAGATAACCCAGTTCAAAGCTGAATAAAATCCCACATTATCTGCTCTGAAGTGCGATATATGGCAGTATGGACAGAGGGCCTTTCCACACAGCCCCGAATCCCAGATTGTCTGAGTGTGGACTCAGATAACCCAGTTCAAAGCCAAATAAAATCCCACATTATCTGCTTTGAAGTGGGATATATGGCAGCATGGACCGAGGGCCTTTCCACACAGCCCTAAATCCCAGATTGTCTGAGTGTGGACTCAGATAACCCAGTTCAAAGCCAAATAAAATCCCACATTATCTGCTTTGAAGTGGGATATATGGCACGGTACCAGGAGATCCAATTTTGTTTGCTTTGCATTGAATGTTTGTTGTAGTTCTAAGTTTCAGGGACTCTGCAGATAGGTGGCTTCTTTTGGCTGCAATCATAGGGCAAGCCACCTGTCAATTATAGTTAGGTTCCCTGGTCCCGTCCCCTTTTTGGGTTTTTGGAGGGAATAGGTGCCATTTTGGGTTCAGTCCACACAGAGAAACTTTTCATGCAGGACATAATACCAAGATCTCCTGTAGAAAGCTTTGTCTTCTACAGCTTGGCCGGGGAGAAAAGGCTCTACGGCTTGGCCAGGAGATATACAGCCTTACAGCTCCTCTGCTGAGGGAATCTGGTCTCACAGCACTTCAGCCAGCCATCACTGAAACCTGAACTCCTTTTTTCCTTGGAGGTCTACAAAGCTCTGCTTGGTAAGGGTCACTTGCGGAAGCCAGAAGCAGTTGGTACCAGGTGTAGGGGCTCCACGGCAACAGAGGCAAAGACAGACTGCCCAGATTAGAAGTTAAGGATTTCCCCATTAGTTAAATTACAGTTTATGTAGATAGTGCCTGTTCCCAGTGAACAAGATTGAGAGAGCCAATAGACTATTAAGAAAGCCTTGAAGTTCCTGTTTGTTTTCATTAATAAAGAACTTTGTTGAACCTTTAAGTATTCTAGAGACTGTGTTTTAAGGAAATCCAAAGGCCTTTAATCTGAGGCAGCCCCGGCGTCCCGTTGGGCACACAGAATTTATGTCCTGTCTACAGTCTTACGTACAGGCCCAGCGTGCGACAGCACAGGCAGTATGGACTGAGGGCCTTTCCACACAGCATTAAATTCCAGATTGTCTGAGTGTGGACTCAGATGACCCAGTTCAAAGCAAAAGCTAAATAAAATCCCACATTATCTGCTTTGATGTGGGATATATGGCAGTATGGGCTGAGGGCCTTTCCACACAGCCCTAAATCCCAGATTTGAGTGTGGACTCCGATAACACAGTTCAAAGCAAATATTTTTGTAGGTTATTCTGCCTTGATGTTCTGGAACAGGGGTCCTCAGACTTTTTAAATAGAGGGCCAGGTCACAGTCCCTCAAACTATTGGAGGGCCAGATTATAATTTGAAAAAAATATGAATGTATTCCTATGCACACTGCATATATCTTATGATGCAGAGCCAACCAATGCAACACTTAAAAAAATACAATAATTAAAATGAAGAACAATTTTAACAAATATAAACTTATTAGTATTTCAATGGGAAGTGTGGACCTGATGAGATAGGATTGTTGTTGTACTGTAGTTGCTGTGTGCTTTCAAGTCGTTTCAGACTTAGGTTGACCCTGACCAATGGCCAGGTAAATGACCTTGAAGGGCCTTAGTTTGAGAACCCCTACTCTGGAATATATGGCTGTGTTGAAGGGCCTTGAAACACACATCAGTGTGCTTTTCCCCAGACTTCCTTTCTGTCCTTCCCTTCTGCCAGAAGGGACAGAAAGCTTCATCTATTCTGATGATCGTGCCATCGTGCCAAAGTAGATAAGGGACCTTTGAGATGGTTGATCAGAAACTCTCCAAAGCTCTAGGGTGCTTTTACTGTCTATTACAGGGAAAACCAGCTAGTCCCTAATCCATCTAAAACACAGAGATGTGCTTTTCACCTTAGAAAACCAACTGATCCCTAATCCATCTAAAACACAGACATGTGCCTTTCACCTTAAGAACAGACAAGCATCCCGAGCTCTGAGGATTACCTGGGAAGGAATCCCACTGGAGCATTGCAGCGCACCCAAATACCTGGGAGTCACTCTGGACTGTGCTCTGACCTACAAGAAGCACTGCCTGAACATCAAGCAAAAAGTGGGTGCTAGAAACAATATCATACGGAAGCTGACTGGCACAACCTGGGGATCACAACCAGACACAGTGAAGACATCTGCCCTTGCGCTATGCTACTCTGCTGCTGAGTATGCATGTCCAGTGTGGAACACATCTCACCACGCTAAAACAGTGGATGTGGCTCTTAATGAGACATGCCGGATTATCACGGGGTGTCTGTGCCCTACACCACTGGAGAAATTACACTGTTTAGTTGGTATTGCACCACCTGACATCCGCCGGGGAGTAGCAACCAATAGTGAAAGGACCAAGGCAGTAACATCTCCGGCCCACCCCCTGTTTGGTATCAGCCAGCATGCCAACAACTTAAATGAAGATATAGTTTTCTAAGATCTACAGAGACACTCGCTGGAACACCTCAGCAAGCGAGAGTCCAAAAGTGGCAGGCTCAAACTCAGAACCTCAATCAATGGCTGGTACCAAATGAGAGACTCCCTCCTGGGCACACAGGAAACTGAGCAACTTGGAAGGCGCTGAACAGACTGCACTCTGGTACCAGGAGATGCAGAGCCAATCTCAAGAAATAGGGCTACAAAGTGGAATCCACGACATGCGAGTGTGGAGAAGAGCAAACTACAGACCATCTGCTGCAATACAACCTGAGCCTCTATATAGACTCTATATAGAGAACAGTGGTTCTCCACCTGTGAGTCCCCAGGTGTTTTGACCTACAGCTTACCAGCATTTAGGATTTCTGGGAGTTGAAGGCCAAAACATCTGGGGACTCACAGGTTGAGAACCACTGATATAGAGAGAGTCTGTTCCATTATATGGGTAGACGCCAAAAGGAGGCGCTAGAGAGAGAAGGATAGTCCATTTTATGGAAGTGGAAAGTGGGTTGAAGGAGTAAAACCATTTCTTCTTGTTTTCCTGTTATTCCCCGCATCCATATCGCAGTTGTAGAAACAACCCTCTTTATGAAATGGGAAGTGGGGAGGGGGAATGACCAACAAAAACAGGGGAAATGGCTTTCCTCTTTGAACTCCCCCCACCATAAAATGGACTATCCTCTCTCTAGCGCCTCCTTTTGGCCTCTGCCTGGGTAATGGGACAAGAGTTAGTTTAAATTTGTTCCTTATTCAACTTACATACAAATTCAGCTTAAGAACTTATTTTGTTTGTAACTTGGGGACTGCCTGTACTCAGTTTCGAGCATGCATTTATTACAACTGCATTTTAAGAGGAACAGAATCATTACAAATTGGGACTTCAAAAAGAGGAGAGGCTCACACAACCAACTATGGGATTTAACAGTTTGACAGTGATGTCATTTAGGTTCCCAGAGAATCTAATTGATATTATATCTGTTCTGAAGTTAATAATTTAGATGGCTTTAGCTACCTGTAGCTTTTTCTCCATACATGTACATGCCTAATAATTACTGATGCATAACATGAGCAGCAGAGGAAAAAAGAGCTGTGCCCTTTGGAGTTCAGAATCTATCCTGGTGGAGATAAGTGCAGGAATGCAGGCCTGGCAGCAAACGAAAAAGCCATATATTTGTTTTTGTTGGTTATTATTTTTAGAAGCAAGTCTCTGCATATGGAAATTTCTCAGATTATTTTTCATGTTTTCTTCCCTCCCCCCCCCCCCCCCCCCCCCCCCCCCGGGCTAGCACATCCATTGCTTGTTTATTAATGCTGGATAAGCATTCTGAAAATATACTAAATGGAATCTGGTAGACTCCCAAAGGGGCTTCTTGAGAAATAATGGCAGCTATAGAAAGATTATGTTCATTTTTGGTGTTTATGAGAAGCCACTAGGGAATATTGAAACTTTTTCTATATTTTCTCCTCTTGGCAGCAACACAGCTGTTGAGCATATATTTGGCATTCATTATGCAGCAGGTACTGTGGTTCATTTTTCAATGGACAAATCAAAATCATGTATTTTTTGTGATTTTCATATTACTATTGTATGCCAGTGGTACTAGGCAGGAAGAAAGGAATGTAATGTGTATATATCCTAATGCAGGGGTCCTCAAACTAAGGCCCGAGGGC